CTTCTGGGAATAGCGTGATAAGGAATTGTGGAAAATTTGCAATTTTTCCCTAAAGACCTTGGAGCCGTGTTAGAATTTTGATATATCAAACTTGGGCTATTCCCATCTGAAACTTTTCTGAGTTCATCTTCCCATACGCCCTTCTATTTATTTCCTATTATATTACGTGAAGATTCACCTGAACCGCATCTTCCTCTGTATACGAAATTAGTCCAGTGGAGGCCAACAACGCCTCTGAAACACCTTTTCGAACGCCCGTAGACATTGTAAGTTTTACAGCTCTTATCACACCAACACTCGGCGAAGAATTGGACGCCAAAGCAGGGGCATCCCTCGATCTGGGCAGCCGTTGAGCAATCCATGACTACGTTGGAGAAATCCTCCCAAGCGATGTTCCAGTCGAGTTTCCCTCGTTCATTTCTGTACAGAGTTTTTAGTGCTCGAAGTGACTTGTTTTTCCAGGCTGCGGGACCCTTATCCTCGAAGCAACCCACCCGTGCGAACCACGCTTTTTTCTCTGACAAAATTAAAAAAAAAAAAAAAAAAAAGCTATTATCATTTCCATGCAAATTTTTCCTCCTTTACATTGGCCAAGAGCCTGTCACGTGGGCTGCAAATAATTGCCTACACATAAAAGTATGTTCATGTGTAATGTCGTCCAACTGTATTTGGCTGTACTGCTCATGCGTAAATGAAACCACACTTTTCTTCCTCTTGAGATCGCTCTTGCCTGAAAATGGCAGATCGCTTCGCTTCCCGGAGATATTCATTAAAAACAAACTTGATTGGTGATCGAATGATAAAATCGATTTCAATAATTGTTATTGAACTCGATCTTCGGTTCGCTCTTTCGTGATTTGTAAGTGTCTCGCGATCAATTATTTGCCTCAGCCTTCACCTGTGGCAAATAATTATTCTGCTCGCCGCTGAAAATCACTATGTTTTGCTCAACCTCGTCCAATTATAGTAAGAGATTTAAATAGTGACGACGGGCTACACCCGAGTTCCAAAAACCCTTTCTTTCAAAATGGCCTGAAGTGCAAAACTTAACGTATCCTTTCAAAAACAGAAATAAAATATTATTTTCATATCAAAGACTTCGCACTCGAAAAAGGCTAGCAGCAACTTGGATACTGCTTATTAACAGCAAAATATAATTGCCATAGAAAGTTAGCTTTTTCTCCCTTGGACCAGTAGGCTTCTCTGAGCCCGTGAAGACAAACGTATTTCCGGTCGTCGCTTCTTTCAGGTGGAGAACAAAGACGACCCGAAATATTTCTAAGTCCGCAGGCTAGAAGGCTTCTTAATCCAGTGAAAACACAACCGAATAAGGCCATTTCAAGCCCTGTAGCTTGCGACTGAGACGTATTTCTGGTCGTCGCTTCTCTCCGCCCCGAGAAGCGACAATGCGGAAATAAGTCAGCGTTTAAAGCCCTGCTGTGCGTAATGCAAATGATACGTGACGGGAAGCTTCAGATTATGCGCGCATAGTTCATGAACTGAGAACAAAAGATAACTGACGAGGTGAAAAAGGCAAAACCCTGCATCTTAGCCAGGTGGATTGTGGGTATTTCGACGCCCGCAAGCCTCTTCGGGAAGACCGAGCGGTTGAGTATCCCAAGGCCCTTGTGTTAACATGCAACCGTGCCATGTTCCATTGGGTGTAAGCCTTAGGGATCTTAAAAAGGACCTAAACCTGCACCAAACGAACAATGGAGAAGTTTTTGAAGTGGCCCATTTCAAAGAGAATGATCAGCACGGTAAAAAAAAAAAAAAAAAAAAAAAAACTGTACGATAACTAATCAAACAACGGCAACGATTTATGACACGAGGAATACATTCATACACTTCCATAGCTCAATCGAAAACCATACCCGATTCGAGACTAAAATGGGCAAAGTCTAAACCCGTTTTCAGACCAAAACGGTGCAAAAACCATACCATTTGGGAGTGGCACATACGATACGGCTTATGTGAGGGAGTACCCCCGGGGGCGCTGTCCCTCGCTGGCCCTAGAAACAAGTGTTTACAATCTACATCAATCTACCTTTTTCTGTATATTTCCTTGGTTTCTTTTTCTTGTTTTTCTTGTTTTTCTTATTCTTCTTTTTGTCTTTCTTTTTCCCCCCTTTTCCTTCGCCTTTCTTTTTGTTTTTCTTCTTTTCTAACTCTTTCTCTTCTGCTATCTGGCTGGCGTTTACTGACCTCCGTTCACGTTCCGCCAGATAATCGTACACCTCCGGAGCCAACCACCTGTTCGTTTCATCGTCATCTTCCATTTCTTCGTCGTTTTCTTCTTCGAACTGACCAGCGACTTCATTGTCGTTGGTGGAGGCATCGGAGATAAGGCCACTCTCATTTTCATCTCCGTCAGCCAGTGCGAATGTGGCAGCACAACTGAATAGTGTCATCAACAGAAGGAACTTCATGGTGGCTTCAGGCGAGAAAAAGGCAAAGTTTTAAGGCCGTTATAAGGCTCACTTATTTCTACGGAATACTTTATTTTTATTAATTTTTGCGGAATATGTCTTCGTAGATATTGCAAATACAAGACTAACACGTAACAAACGCATTAAAAGCTTTGTTGGAAAGGTAAAAAACCAGAAACGACGAGACTCATGTATTACATTTCAAAAGAACCCAGCAAAAACACATCAAGAGATCAAGGGATAAGAAGACTCAGAATAGCCTGCGTGGAATGGGAAGGGAATATATTGATTTGCGCGAGTGCATAAAGGGCGTGCAAGGGAGAAGGTTCCCCTCCCTTCTTCTTCGCGCAATTCCCTCTTACCCTTCCTCGAAAACGAGATAAACGACCTCTTAATGGGGAAGAGGTTTTAATTTTACATTGTAATTAGTGGTCTCATATATACGGGAGGTTGGACGGTATTTCTTATTTTTACAAAAAAATGGTATAGTAATTCAACTCATTGAATGTACAGTAATTGACGACTGCTTTTCACACCTTGAAATTGTAATAATCGATAATTAATTAACTGTGTGTTGATCATCGCAATCAGTTTTTCTACGTCCTCCATCGTCCTTTTGCGTTCATCCCTGCGGGTACGTTGTTCAATATTCAATTTCCTTAATTTTTTAAACAAGAAAACCAGGCTCTAAATGTTATTACTATTTTTTTAAAAAAAGTGTATCCCTCCACACGAAATAACTACGGAAAGCTAGCTTAAAGATCGCAGGGAAAAGTTTATATTTTGAAGAAACGTATATTTAGCGTGGGGTCTCTGTGGGCGTACCTCGGAAGCTCCTTAACATTTATTTTTTTCTCAGTTTTGTTTTTTTCCATTACATCTCCCAGGCAATTTGATTGCTGTGTTTGACGTGAGAAGTGTGCCGTTGACAGGAGGGCAGCGTTTGTCTAGTCATGTCTACGTGAAAGTATTGGGGTTAAGAAACGACAGGAAACAACCTCGGTACCGAAAACGTCGCCAAAAAGAATGATTTTCCGTCCTTTAAAACTTTATCACGCCTATTTGGACTAGTTCAGTTTGTCAAATGAAGGCGATTTTTCAGTCCAGGACTTGAATTCTTAAGGACTTTATCCAGCTTCAAAAAGAGAAGGGAAAATTCATCCATCTATGTTCACGTCCACCGTGAACGTCAGATTCTGAGGTTTCGCGTCGTAGTCGTGAAGTGGACGTCAAAGAAATGTACTAAAAAGCGCCATGCACGAGTGGAGCTGTTGTTTTGACTCATAACAGCGATGAACTTGCTGTATTTTGGCATGTATCACTACCTCGAAGGTCGAGTTCTGCTCGCCGCTTTTTCTTTTCCCACAAGTCTTACAACTATTACAGTCGGTCAAGTCTTTCTTAACAGTTTATAATTAGTTCCCGGAAGCCGGGCGGTTATCCCTGCTGTTCCTTCCCGTTTTATCACAAGCACTTATATAGTTTAGTTCTTAATGCTTTCTTTCTTAGGGGGAGTTTACATCACTCTATAATTTCGCGACGATTCCGTCTTTTGAAACAGGAAAATTTGTCAAGTAGTTCATAAAATAAATAAAAAAATTCTTTGCTGATGCGCTGAAAGATTCTTTGCGGAAAATCCGTTGTATCAAAGAATGGACCTGGAATGACTATAATCACGATTATGAAAAATTCCCATTTTCAAAGGAAAAAAAAAGGATTTAAGTTTTAGCTAGATGAGAAACATTCACAGTTGGCCCGATCCCGCACAAGTGAAAAACCGTCAAACAAAACCGATACTTAAGATCCAAAATTTCAGTGCAAAATTTGACTAACCTTTTTCTGGTCCTTTCCTGTGACCACTGACGACTATCTGCAAATGTAACGCGAAATCGTTTGCTTTAAAATTTCCTTTCGTCGCCTCGAAACTGAATCGTGCCTTCGAGGTATTTTAATAGCATCTCCTTTTGTATTATATTTCTTTACTTTACAAAAAGATTGATTAATCAGTGACAATTAATTTTGAATTGTTTTAGAAGCATGCGAACTCTGAACCGATTCATTTTCTTAAGAAAAAGTAAAAATAATGCAGTTAATGTATAATAGACCACTGCTTTCACACCGTTTTAAATGGCAATAAAAGATAATTATGACTTTATTACTTACAAAATAGGAGTAACGTTTATCACCATTTTTTGGGACGAGGATTCGTTACGTAATATTCACATTGCTCCATTTTTAAATGAGAGTTTTGCATAATATTTTAACAGAAAGTGAGTGAAACGACGTAAGGTTTAAATGACAAAAAGGGATTTTGGTTTTTTACTCGAGTTAATTTCAGTTTCATAATTATAGTTTTATTTTTATTGTGAGTTTCTAATATTTCGTGCTTCACAATCATTTCGTTAGGAAATTTTGAAAATTTATATGATTAATGATACCAAAAATTAACACTTTTGAAGATTGATGCTTGCAAAGAAAGGTTTTTTTTAATCAAATAAGGGTTGTAAACAATTTTGTCATCTGGCTTAAAAAAAAAAACGAAAAAGAAGGTTTTTCCCGGAGGCGACGAGCAATTCATTGTGGGTCCCCGGCCAAGGATAGCCTCTCTTTCAAAACGAGTTTCACCGCAAAATTTTTTGATATTAAAAGAAAATTATTTTATTTTTTTCATTTGAATAAAACTCATTTTCATATGAAAGGTTTTACACTTGGCCTTATTATGAAAATGAGGGTTTTTGGAACTCTAAAATCGTGTATTTTATCTCAACTTCTTGGTAATTTAATAGGTGAGAAGTGTGTCTTTTAGTCAGCATTTTTTGTTTCACTAGCGAATTCTATTTTCAGTGGATTTTCACACCAATGCAGTTCCTAGGCAGGGAGAACGAGTTCTGAGGACAATAAGCAGCCTTATGATCTAGGTTGATTATTACATGTAAATGTAATAGCAGTTTTTCCAAAAATTCTGATCAGAAATTGTGAACTCCATGTTTAGCAAAATTATAACTTACAGGCAGAAACATTCCAGTTCATTTGTAGCCTAACTAAAATTGGTTTCCTACTGCCTGCCGAAATGATCAAAATTGACCATCAAAAACACCTCTGAGCCCAGCTTTTCAAGTTGGTGTTCACAAGGTCCCTGTGAAAAATAACACAAAGCTCAGACTTTCTTGGTAAAGCAGAGGAGAAATAATTACTTTCATGTCTGTAAAAGACTATTTAGTACCAAAGCTGGCACCCAAATTCCTTCCCCCTTCCCATTTCAATGCCTGCCTCACAGGGTATCTACAAAGTTTCAGAAAGGATAAACACAGTACAATTTATATGAATTATTGACCACGACTGAGGTCAAGATAAGACTGATAATTAGACGTCTTGACCAAAAAAGCTGGGTCAATAAAGCAGGGTTGTCAAAAGTAGCCGGCCGCTGGTGAAAATCGCCACCTGCTTGGTTAGTATCAGCTGGCTACTCCATTTAGCATTTCTCTACAGATAGCATTTTTAAAATAAGATATCCCTGGACTGGCTGCTTACTTTGACAACTCAGCCATCTACTTCAAAACTTTCTGACCACCTTGTAAAGGATTTATTAGATGGCAAGAGAGAATGATTCTGTCTTGTATATGGCCAAAAGGAGAAGTTATTCTTGCAGGAGTAATGGAGTGAAATCCCAAGTGGGTAAGATGGCCTTGCCCACTCATAAAATTCAGCCAGATAATTATGTCTGATACTGATGTTTAAAACATGGCTTACACTTCCAAAAGTAGCCCTCCTTAAGCTACGTGCAAACGCACACAACAACTCCCAATATTGTTGGCCCGAAAAAGATTAGAAGTTGATGGATAGTGTTGGCAGTGGTGTGCAAATGCAACAAATGTGCAAATGCAACAACTCCCAACAATGTTGGGACTTGCAGTGCATAAAACCATAATATTGATAAATTGAAAGAATTTGCATAACTATATTGTGACACATGTGAATGAAGTTCAAGGAGACCATGTGTAATGCACGTGTGTGGCCCCAACAATGTTGGAAGAGCTGTGCAAACGGATCTAACATCATTGCGCTATGCTTCGGCGATCACAGAACAAAAGAAATGTTGGGAGTTGCTGGCTCAAAAGTTTGACCGCTTTCAACAACATGCAACAGGCCGTGCAAATGGATGCAACATATAACGTCAAACACGGTTGCACACATTTGCATGGGGCTTTAAGTGTAGACACCCTTTAATGTGTTACAGAGAAAATAGCTAGTATAGGAGGTGTCTGCACACATGCTAATTAAAAGTTTCCACTGAAATAAAGAGGTAAACAAAGCTGCTCATCAACCATTTGAGGACACTAAAAAAGTATTGATTTTAGATTTTCCAGAAAAATTGTGATTGGCAGCATGTAACAAGCAAAAGAAAAAAACAATTGTGAGTGCCCAACAGGATTTGAACCTTAAAATTTCCAAAATCCAGGTGGGCATTTCATTGCATTGACTTATGGAGGGCAAGGCCATATACTAGGTTAACACACTAATTCAAATTTCATCGTAGATAGAAAAGTGGAGGGAACTGTATTAATTATTTATCAGTGTCAAACACAAAGCAGATAACCAAGAAATAAAAGGTTTGACTAACATCAACCTCTCTAAAATTCAATGACAAGCATGGTCTGCTAACAACAATACTCTTTTTCTGACTTCTTCACTAATTTTTACAAATGAAATTAATTTCACACGTTATTTGTTCGAAAAGCAGCAGTATAAGCATTATTCAAACTGATCTTGATTCCCCAAGACTTGCTGGGTCATGCTGTCAACAAAGATGCGCTTACATGACGTAACAATTGGGCGAATTGCATCAGTATGTACCAACATCAGCTTCTACAATATCAAGTCCTGACCAAAGATTGTTGATTCTGTTCATTAAATTACCATCCATTTCAGACATTAAATCCCATCTTCCTCATGCATTCTTTATGTGCTTCGATGAGATCGCCACAATTTTCCTCACCGCGTTCGACAATGCAGGCGTCGCGCACTTTTTTCGTTTCTGGACAAGCACAGCATGCTCTCAGCTTCTTCTCCTCTTTTGGTTTTTCTTCAGGGGTTGCAGCAATTGCAGCACTCAATGCCTTCCCCGACATTATTCTTCCTTGCGTTCAAAAAACGAAAAAGACGATGGAGAATGGTTTTAAGTAAACTTTCACTTTCACGAGGAAAAAATTATGTAAGTTCTGTCGAATTCGTTTCCAAGCCTCGCGGGTATTTTAACTGGAAACGAGGCAAAAATGTAGCAGGAAACAGCTGTCACGCATGCTCATGCCTACCCTAGATTTTAAGATGGCGGATGTTTTAGTATGGGTTTTCCTAGGCCTGCAGCCTCATATAACGTGAGCTTGTCAAAATCAGCTCTCTCAAACTACTATGGCGGCAGAGCCAACAGTATCAAGCTCTCATGTGGAACACCTCCTAGCTGAGATTGAATCAAGTGACGGGCTTCTTGGACCAACGTTAAGGTGAACACAGTTGTTTTTTTTTTTCTCGCAGAAAACTCTAGACTTTCTGTCGTGAAATGGAAACGTGTAATCGAGAAAGTGTTTCTTTGTTCATTTGGCTGAAATTCATTTTTTAAAACTAAAACAGAGCCGTGTATGATGGAGAGCAACATACAGAATTCATGGACAAGCTGGAGGAACGAATTCGGGTCCATGATAAGGAGATCGAACGAATGTGTAACTATCATTATCAAGGCTTCATTGAATCCGTAAACGAATTACTCAAAGTGCGAGGAGAAGCAAGGAAACTCAAGGTATTTGTGCATGTTATCAATGTCTTCAAAGTTTTAATCGTAATATTTATTCACGGTAGGGAACTTCTTCACTAAGCTTTATTTCCACACCTTGTCCTTAGCGTTTGTTAACGAAAGAATTTCCTGGTCCCCTTTCCCAACTAAACAACCTTGGTTTGCAACCACTTGACAAGGCGGCCATGTCGGGGTTCAATACAACATAATTTTTTCTCTAAGAATTTACTTGAAAATAGAGTTTCGTTCCCAGAGGAGAGAAATGCTTTTGTTATTGACCACCACTATGGCCACCGTGCCCCGGAAGGGAGGGGGGGGGGGACTCTGCATATGAAAAGGGTGGGGATGCTCGTTGTCTCTTTTGGTCTCACTTAGGGTGTTCTGGGCAAAACGACATCATGTTTAGCTGTGAAGATCTCGTTTCTCCCTGATTCGTGATCTGTTTCTTGGAATGTATATACATAGATCCTTAACAAGTGTAGTTGTGGTAGTTTGTGAAACTATTCCTTAAACATTCTCCATATAAAATGCATGAGTATAAACTAGTAAGACTTTCTTCCATATTGTGCAGTCTAATAGATTAAGAGACTTCGTCTTTTTAATCAGATGAAAGTAAAAGAAGTCAATGCAGCTATGCAGGAATCAGGACGTGAGGTCTGTATGATTATACCATGTATATTTATGTTGGTCCACTTGCCAAGCATATGCTTCCTACCTACCTGTTACCATTATATCTATCAGAGGAACTAAATGCTAATGTTCATTTTGATTTATAGCTGACTAGCAAGTGTGAAAATTTAATTCATTGCCGCACAACTCAAAGGAACATTGTGTCAGCTATAGAAACTCTTAGCCTTTGCTTACCAGGTGAGCAGTGAATCCCGGGGGGTGGGGGGGGGGGGGTTACTCCAGATGTCAAGTGACTGGGATGATCGAGTGGGTATAAAAATCAAAACCCAAAAAAATCTGTCGGGCTTTGAACAAAACCCCCAAAAATCTGTGAACCAAAAATTAACCCCCCCGCCCAAAAAAATCCCATGAGGAATTTTCGAGCCAGAATATGCAGGCACTACCACGAATCTTCAGATTGTTGTTAATACCCAAAACAATCCCTACTTAAATCAAGCCATCCAAAAAATACCAGCCAAATTTTCCTATCCAAAAAAAATCCTGGAATTGAAAATTTGAAACCACAAAAAATCCCTCGATCATCCCCGTCACTTAAGATCCTGAGTACTGCCCTGGGCATTGAATAAAACAGCGAGGGAGATTTGCCTTTTTAATTAATCTCTCTCTCCACCATCAGGTTGCATAGAAAGTCAGTTTTATGGCTTGCCATTTGGGAAAGCTCTAGCTAGCATGTACTAGCCCAAAAAATTTTTCATGAGCAGGATTGATTACAGCTCTTCTGTAATTTTAATTCCCCCAGAAACCAAAAAAACCTAAGAATTCGGTATCCTAATAGCAAAATCCAGTAGACCCAGGCTATCGAACGCAACTTTTTTAGTACCCTGCACCATGTGGTGCATAAGGCCACACCTTGGGTTTAAAAAAGGCTGGTTTATAGTGGAAAGTGCACTTAGCTTACCTTATTATAGGAAATTAACGCTCCATGAAATTAACGCGAATCGTTAAAATTCGCATTAATTTAAGTCGCGTTAATTTTGTTGAGCATTAATTTCCGCAACGTTAATTAAGTGCAGCGTTAATTTCCGCGCTCTTAATTTCCAGTATTTTAACCCCAATTTTGGAACCTGTCCAGACATTCTTGACACCTAACTAATTAACACAAGCTTTCTTTCTTTCCATTTACCCTTTATTTTTCATCTTTCACAAAAGCTAAGGCGAAGGTTTACAATATTTCGAGTTCATCTTCATCGTTGTCGCTGTCAGAAGTGATGTCAGCTCAGTTTTGTTCAGTTTTGAATTTTTTTGCATCCAGTGTTAAAATAAATTTGTTCCAGTTGTCACCACCAACTGTGTCTTAATCGCGTTAATTTCCTTTATTATGAAACTCTACCTCCCGTTTCGTGTTAATTTTCTTTATTCGAAAGTCGTTTCCCACTAAATTTGCGTTAATTTAAGTCGCGTTAATTTCCAATACCTTAATTTCATGGAGCGTTAATTTCCTATAATAAGGTATCTAGCTAGTTTACAGGCACTCCACTCAGATACTTAAAAACAAATAATTCAAATACAACATAACAGGATTAAAAACCCAAACCTGGCAGGAGGCAACCAGTTGGATATTTACAAGCGTGGCGAAGGATTTGAACTCGGGACCACCCAGAACAAATCCCAAGACCGCCAGATGAGCGAGTCTGACATGATAATTATCTGAACCAGTTTCATTGGGCTGTTTAACAGTTATTATTATTTCATATCTTTGAGTATGTATTCATAGATGGCTGAAGGAAGTATACTTGTAAAATATAGTATTTACATTTGGTTAAGAGAATGAATTTTTAGAGACTTGAGTCAGAAACATGTTTGGTGTATTTCTCTTGCAGTGTTAGAGATGTATGCAAAACTCAAGGACCAGATGAAAAACAGAAGGTTAGCGACCTCTCTACGTGTATATGTACTTAACTTACTTATATGTACTTAACTTACTTATATGTATTTTTTGTGGCCAATGAATTGTTTTAATTAAAATTGATTTTTGTGAGTACATGTATTTTCTTTTGTTTGCAGGTACTATCCAGCATTGAAAACTCTGGAGCAACTTGAACACACATATCTTCCACGGATCAAAAGGTGCCCCATTATTAATTTTAATACTAATGTTAATAGTCAGCCAAGGTAATAAAAACCTTCAGTTATTTTGTGGTACAGTTTTGTAAAAGTGAGGTCCTGTCCCACCATATGTTTTAGATATTCTGACCAAAACCAAAGCATCATCACTGTTTGGCCTCACTGTGACAACAATGTTTTTGCAGAATTATTTCAATAAACTTCTATTAACCATAAGGATATTGTTGTGTGATTAACAGATTTAGATTTGCAGAGATTATGCAAAACAGTATTCCTGTTCTACGGAAGCACATCAAAGAAGCATCAATGGCTGATCTGAGGGTAAGCCTCGTGTAGACATACCGTATGTCAGATCAGTTCAAACTAAACAACCTGTTATTACAGTACCTATTACAAAATATAATTTAAGTTCAGGAATGTTAAGAAAACCCTAAAATGATTATTCTGGTGTTATTAATTAACTAAAATTCATTATTAAATTCTCACATTTGTTTGGCTTCTTCCTAATTATTCAGGGGCGTAGCCAGGATTTTTCAAAGGGGGGTTCACAGACAGGGACACCATCCGGGGATCGCCGACTATATAATGGTTTATACCGCTGCTCTCCCTCGTGAATCAGTGGGCTCAGTCGTATTATTGCAACATGATGGCCCATATTAACTAAAGACAAGAGCCGTTGACGAAAATACTTTACAAAAAAACAAAATTTTAAAAAAGTGGGCTTTTCAACAATGGCCTTTATGGCCAAGATATTGTCATGGCGTTTTCGCCACCTGAATATTGTAGGTTGTTTGCTCAAAAGAAGGCCTACCAAGTGGGGGTCACGGGCACCCCAGGACCCCCCCCCCCCCCTAGCTACGCCCCTGATTATTGGTATTCTTATTGATATTGTTGAAAATAGTAAATCTGGGATTGGATGTTACAAGGATTGACGCGTAGGTTTACAGATTTACAACAGATACCGTAATGTTGATAGACGCATTCTTATCTTGTAGGATTTTCTTGAGAAGATCAGGAAGGTCTCTGAGAAGTTGGGTTCAATTGCTATGAAGCAGGTTGGTTGCTAATAAACCATTTTTTTTCTTGAATTTTATGTCCAGAAAAGGAGTGTAGCTTTTTAACATCTAAACCATGCTTATTTCCAAAAAAAATCCCCCTTTTTATAAATGTTACACCAAGGCAAACTCACAATGTTAGTGCTTACCCTGCCAATGGATCAATGACTGATTTCAGCTCTGTTCTTTTTCCGTTGAACATGAATTGAGCTAAATATATGTGAACTTGTTGTCTGTGTTTTTTGCTATCTGTCGGCTGAATTTATGCTAAATATTATGCTTTGTAATAATAATTTATGCATTTAAGAGTAAAACAGGACTATGAAACAAAAAAAAAGAAGAAGAAGAAAAGAAAGATCGAAACAAGTAGGGGTCTTCACAACAGGATATCCACGGCTGTTCGCACATCATTGTACTTCCTAACCCTGTCCAACATCCTTAACTTTAGTGGCGCTTTTACAGTGAGTTTCCTGTGGGTTTGCAAACATATTTCTAGTCTCTGAAATACTCATATGTAGTTGTGTATTTTGGCGATGCAGCTGACTCTGTCTCAGACAGACTCCTTTGTTTTTAGCACTTCATGGGGTCCATTTTAGCCAGGTGTCTGTTAGGAGGGAATCTACTGCACTAATACTTTTTATTGAGACAATTAAAAGGCATTCAAAGAGCGTCACTACAAAAATGATTACAGCAAGCACAAAGGATTTTGTTTTTGGATTTTGTTTTTTATTACTAAGTCAATGATGATCTTGTGTACTGTAGGCTATACAAAAAAACAACTTGACCCTCCCGCCTGGTGTTGGCCTGAAGAAAAAAGGAGAGGATGAAGTAAGTACAGATAAATACAGAATTTATAGTAATGATATAAATAGGCTGGATATTTTGCCAAGTTTTTTTTTTGCACTTCTTATGGACTGAGTGTCTTCTTTCAAGCAGTCTCATGTGGAATAAGGAAATTCTTTGGGGTTTTTCCATGACCATAATAGATATATTATAGTTTGTACTGTCCTGTGGATTGTGGTTCCCTGTAATACATAATGATTATGTTTTTGTTTTGAAGGAGTTAGACAAGTCTGCTCAAGATTTGGTTGATTTTTCTCCTGTCTACAAATGCTTGTACATTTTCACTGTTGTTGTAAGTCAATTTGTTTATTTCTTCAATGTATAGAACTACTGGCAGCTTTTTTTTCAGGACAGTGTTCAAGCAGCTAGAACTGAGAATAATGACTTAACAAAAACTTATGTCTATGGTGTTTTAAAGTTAAAATGAAATTCAGGTTAAAATGGTTGGAACCATTTTAAGGAGAAATTTTATTTTGACCCACAAAACCTACATTGACCATTATTTTGAATCTTTTTATGGTCCCAGTTACTTTGTTGTAACAGTTAACCAGCTGCCTTGCTTTATAATGGAAGGTGGGTGCCTCTACTGGGCAGGGCCTTTACATTATTTTGGAAGCCAGCCCCTAGGTAGAATCTGCTCCAATGGCTGGTAAATCCATGAGCCCCCATTTCAGGCACCCATCACTCTGGGGAATCAGTGGAAGGAGACATAGAGGGTAGGGAGGGTAGGGGAACACTAAAACATTTGCTTTAATTTGTTCCACATCAACACACGTACAGCCACTATGTAAACACTCAAGAAAGAACTTGACATCCTGGCTTTGACGAAGCAACAATATTCTATGCGAGCCTAGATTTGTGAGTTTGGCTGCTGATTATGACCGCTGGAGACTGCTAAGCTCATCTGGTGGATGACTTTATTAAATTTATTATTTAACTAAATTTAAATGTACATAAGCAAAGAAATTTAGGCTGTTTACAGAGTTACATGTACAAATACATTACCTATGCATATGCAGACTACATTTTTTAAAACAAAATAATATGACGAAAGATGAAAAGTTTGGCATGTTGTCTTTGTTTTCTAAGGGAGAACGAGAAACCTTTGACACTTACTACAGAAAGCAAAGAAGAAAACAGGCTAGACTAGCCCTCGAGCTCAATCATGGAACAAGGGTAGGTTTAATTGACATCAGTTATGTTTTGATACAAGAATAATATTATTAATTAGTCATATATTGCAAATTTTATTGATGATGTGACTTCTGCTTCATTTTGGAGTCAAGTATCACAATTTACAGCACGTGGTCCTGGCATGAATAACTATCGTGATGGATACACGGTGTAGCTGTGGGGGTCCACTGACCTAGTAAATCCATGATGGCGGTCATCGAGTGTATCGTAATTTACCCTCTTCCTGTTTTGTCGTGCAGTATCATTTCTTTAATTTTGATGGTTGCATTTGTTGCGAAAAAGGTAATACCATACATTTCATGTATTTGGCGTATTGTAATATTACTGTAACAGTAGTAGTAAGTAGGGTTGGAGGTCAAAAATAATACCATACATTTCATGTATACTGTAAATCTGGTAGTTATGATATATAGATTTAGCCTAGGCTAAAGGAAAAGCTCCCATTAACAAAAGACCATTGCAAATCCACTTGGAGTTGAGCATGTAATCAATTAAAAACTACTAACTTGTCAGCGGAGAAGTTAAAAAAACGTAACTGCAATGGGTCGACACCTGAGCCTGCAATACAGTCATGTGATACTAGTCAGAGGATACCCTGTTTTCACAGCTGGCAATTGACCACAACATGGATGTGCAATATTAGATTGCAGGTTCCCATACTAGCTAGAAAGTGTGACATTTTACATTGGTTTCCCTGTGGTGGGGACAGACAGTTGTTCGGCGGATGTACGGTAATGAGACCGGCAAATTAAAATTTCCCAGGGCCAAGTTCCTGAAAGGCCGATTAGCGCTAACCCAGGATTAAAATTTTGTTCCACTTTATGTATTCACTTTCCTATATATTGCTTAGAGTAACGTTTTGTGTTGTTATTACCTTAACCAGGGTAAAGGCTCAACAGATTTTTTTAAGGTCTAGATGCATGGTTCTTAGGGAAGAAAACCTTGCTAAAAGTTGGCTTAATCGTGGGTTAAACTTGATCATCTTTCTAGGAACCTGACCCAGATGTATAGATTTCCAAATTTCCTTAGCCATGGGGCTCTACTATAAAGAAGATGAAATCCACAAAATCGCTGTGATATTTAAACAGATGCTTAAACTAAGAGTAAAGCAGTAGGTGACCTCTGATAGTCTGGTGTCGTTCCAGTTTCAATGGTTATAAATTGTAAATCAAAGGGTATAAAACTCAACATTACATGTATGTTAGGCAAGTCACTTACAGTAGGCTATGACCTTATCCCACACATCCCTTCAGTTGTATTTCACATGTCTGTGATGTGTAGAATTATTTTTCTTTGACTTTGTTTTGGCAGGATGCAAATATTGAAGCATATAAAGCTTATTTTCATCAAATTGTAGGGTAAGTCAGAAAAAAGAAAATGTCATTACAATAAGCAAACTATTATACATATTTTACCTGCATGGCATGGCACAGCTAGTGTGTTTCTCTGGATGTTATTTTAATTTGTAATTGTAAAAAAATCATTGATAAACAAAACCATTTTCCATTTTCATTGCTTCAATTATTCATTCATCACAAAATGTGTGTTATTATTTAATTGTTTTTGTTACAATTTTATTACATTATATGATTACTTATTTCAGTTTTGTTTTCTTTGAAAGGTTTTTTGTTGTAGAGGATATAATTCTCCACACAACCAAGGGTCTAGTGACCAGGTATTGTTCAATTTACTGATAAATATGTTATAATTAATTTTTTATCTCATGTAATTTTTGTTTTTCTTTTGTTTTTGGGTATGTTAATGTATGCTAATGAAGTTGAAACAAAGGAAACATAAAAATTGCCTAACATAAAAGATTAACTACAGCCTGTACAACATAAATACACGATGTATGACTGTTGTATTTCTAACTGTGTATCATTACCTGCTCTGTTAACCCATTAAGTCCCAATAGTGACCAACAGCAATTTTCTCCTAACGATATCCATACATTGTCATGAGATGAGGTTATGAGAATTAATAAAATGATCACCTAAGAGAAATACTTTGATCTTTTATCAAATTCTCCTAACTAATTTTATTCTTAAAGGAAATGTATAGAGATCAGTTTGGAGAATTTGTATTTGGATATTGGGGCTTAAAGGGCATCTCTAAGATGGCCTTAATGGGGTGGAGTGGGTAGTGAGATTTGAAGTATAATTATTTGAACTGGGAAAAATGAGTCACTGAGACAGAATTATTCCTCTGGAGTTGATTATAACAAAACTTTAAAATGAAAGCCATCTCCAAAAAAGTTAGACTAAGATTAAGGAAATTTGTTCCTTCCACCCTCTGGGACACACCCCTAAGTGCATGTCATACATCAGTTTACTTTTCCTACAGTTTGCAGGTGAGTTGCTTTAGGTTTTCAAAATAACAGAGAAAGTTTTGAAAATTTTTATGCATTATCTTGCAAGCTGGTTTCGGCGCCTAGATGATTCAAATCATGTACTGTTGTGATTTAATTTCGTCCTTAGTTTTAATGTTATTTTCTGATGTTTTACAGATCAACAGTTGATGATCTTTGGGAAATGGCAGCTTCTAAAATTGCACCTGTCTTGCTTACATGTACACAGTCGGTAAGAGATAAGTGTACTGTACAATGAATGTTGTAGGAACAAAGCCAGTAATAATTAGTAGTTTTAATGTTATTTAATCTTAGTGATAGACCGTGAACAGTTGTCCTTTGTTCCTTGATCGCTTTACCTGGAGACACGACTCAATCCTTAACTTCATTGCCAAGTCACTTCAACCTGTAATTAATGTTGACTCTTCACTCTATGCAGATGTTAATGGTTTTCTGAATCCCTCAATAATAACTGGTGAAAATTATCGTCCAGACCTTCTTTTCCTAATCCAGTCGAAGTGCCTATATGTTCTAGAATTAACAGTTGGTGTCGAGTCTAACCTTAACAACAATGCAGTGCGTAAGAAAGAAAAATATCTGAACTTGATCAACAAAATGAGTAGAAATTACAGATGTGTGAGATTTGTAAATCTCTCCATGAATTCCCGTGGCGTTTTCTCCGATGAATGCTCCACGTTCTTAGACATGATGAATGACATTGGCATTGACAAAAAGCAGCAATGTTATATAATCAAGAAAATGATAATATATAGCCATTAGAGCAACATATTACATCTTTTGTTGTAGAAGTAGGAACTGGGATAGCCCAGACTTAATGCAATTTTGATATATATATATTTTTTTTTTTGGCTTTTGTTTGGTTTTGTTTTTGTTTTTTGTTTTTTGTTTTTGTTTTGTTTTTTGTTTTGTTTTTAATAATCCAATCTCAAGCAGCATTTGTAAATTGCCTATACGTAGCAAGATTGTACATTCAAAAACACAAGTAAAGTTTCCATTATTATTATTATTATTATTATTATTATTATTATTAACATGTCACTGCAACATGTCCTGGCCTTTAGTTTTTTTAAGACACTGTACATGTATGCAGATAATGATAAAATTTTTACTTATTAAACATAAAAAGTGGCATATGTCTCTTCTTTGTGATAAATCCTTTACAGTGTAATTAATACACTTCTTCTTCTTAAGGCTTATTGTGAGGATCCATCTCTGTTATTAAAAGTGAAAGAGCTCATTGTATGGTTTTGTCACACACTTTCGGTAGGTGTCACACTGTTGTCCTTCAAATTTATGCTCTGACTCTCTCATTTATGGTTGGGGGTATGGGTAGGAAATTAAAAGAGTTCTTTATTTTCACCTCTCCCCTTAGTTAATGTGGAGTTTTTTCATCTCCTCTTGGTTAATATGGGGAGGAATTTCAATATTCCCCAACTGTTAATTTGATTTCTATTCTATAAGTTATTGCATGCCTTTGCCCTGTAAATGGCTTGACTGTTGCATGGCTCAGATGACCTGGTAAAATGGCGGTCCTTCTCCAGAAGAGATGTAAAAATAGTTTCCCCAACAGCGCTTTTGTGGTTAACCAACTGCCTCTCTTAAGTGGAAGGTGGGTGCCTGGGATACCCAGGGGCTTCCACTTTGGCCAGCCAGCCCCTAGATAGAAAACTGCTCCCATGGCTGGCAAATCCCTGCAACCCAGCCATGAGCCCCCATTCCAGGCACCCGTCACACTGATGAAACAGTGGAAGGAAGAAAAACAGGGATGGTAGGGGGGTAAGGTGCTAAATGAACCGCTCCACAAACCACTGCACAAACACTTGACGAGGAACTCGCAGATCCTAGCTGTGTACAAAGTTACCACAAACCATGTGAGCCTGCACTTATAGGATTGACCGCTGGATGCCCGCTAAGCTCGTGGGCTGCTTGACCGCTAAGCTTGTGGACCACTTGACCGCTTAACTTGTGGACTGCGTAACTGCTAAGCTTGTGAACCGTTTGACTGCTAAGTGCGTGGTGGTTAACTTAGTTAAATTACATTTAACCAAATTAAATGCATTAACACTTGAATTGCCTTTAACGCTTCAAGTCCCAAAAGGAACAAACGTTGATTTTCTCGTTAACAATATCAATCCATAATCAATAGAAAGGGTTAGGAGAATAGCCACTTTCGAGTTCCAAAAACCCTCAGTTTCAAAACGAGGCCAAGTGCACAACCTTTCTTGTGATAATGAGTTTTATTTGCTTGAGAATGAAAAATATTTTCCATATCAACGGCTGAGCACTTATATGTCACCTTGTTTTGATAAAGAGGCCTGGGGGAACTTGGAAATGGCTTATTGATCACCATAGCAAGGAAAATGCTTTGATCTTTAAACAACTTCTCTCCACTAATTCCCTAAAGAAATATACGGAGAATAGTCTGGAGTAATTATTGTATCTGGATACTGGGACTTGAAGGACTCTCCTATCATCAAGTGTTAAAGATGTTTTGTTTTCTTGCCTTTTTTTAGGGGTTTGGATTTAATGTAAATAAAATTTTTGAAGTCCTTCTTGAAATGAGGTGAGTGAGCTTGAAAATAATGCAACAATGTTCCGAACTCTTCACATGCACTCTACTTTTTACTAAAAGTTTTTTTTAAAAATTTCGTTACTCTGTTTTATTTACTGCCATTGCATTGCTCAAGAAAATATCCCATATACCCCCAACCCCCCACCCCTCTGAAAATTCCATTATAGCCTTATACTTAACCTTAAGAATTTCGACCTGTAAGGCTGGCTGTTTCAATGAAGTGGGCCAGACTAGTTAGCCAGGCTGTTCCACTTCACTAGGCCTTCATGGCTCATGCCTGACTTCCACAAAATGTTTGTTGTGTTAAGGTGGGCTGGCCTTCTTCTCATAATTATAACAAAGCCCTGATACCCTCCTGCCCACTGTGGAATTTCTGATACCCCCTGTGGGTTAGTTATGGACATTTTCTGATACGATACATTCCCAAAAAAATATCAATGCTTTTTCTGTTTTTTGAGGAAGCATTCCTCCCAAGAATTACAAGTTACCAACATTTCTAAACTACAGGACATGTACAGTCTGTACTAAATATGTTTTACTGTCATCTCTCTAGGCATCAGTACAATGAAATTTTATCAAAAGATTGGGAAGCTATATTCAAGTAAGTTGATTTATTTAGCCATGTGTTTTTATCTTCTCTCTTGTGCTTTCATTCTTTTATCTTATTTGTCCTAATGTCTTTATTGTAGTTCATCCTATTTTTCTTCCCTTTCTTACTCACTCTTTTCAATTTTTTTTCCTTTTCCGTATCCTCCTCTTCTTTGCCCTATAATTAATTTTAGGTGTGTCCCTCAAATCCATGTTACTCATGGTTATTTTGTGGATCAATGTTGTACATTATTATCTTTGGACTTTCAGGGAACCAACCAAAAGTCAGAACTGGTGGTTTGGGCTGGTCATTTTGAAAACGAAACAGGCTTTTGTTGAGAGTTTTCATCTGAAAGCCCACCACTTCCATGCATACTATTTAGGAACAGACAGATCGAGCTGAAGTACTTCTGATTAGTAATGGAGGTCCCTTTCCCGATTGGGGGGCAAGGGGGGGTCTAGCCAGTCTTTTCTGAAAATGCCCGAAGTGTTTACTAGTCTGCAGACAACAAGGTGCCAGTTGATAATGCATCTTTAAATTCGACATTTTTTTGATGTTGCTTGTACTTGTGTAGGCAAATTTTTGATGAAGATAATTACACGCCAATAAGCTGCAAGGATGAAAGTGAATACAATGATGTTTTAAGAGAGTTTCCTTTTGATGATCCAGAGATGGCTCAGGTGAGATCTGTTGTTCAAAACAGATAACCTTGTTTCTCCAAATAGAAGACACTATAATGACTCCAGATCAAGGTGTCTTGTGATCTAAAAACAAAAATTAAGTTAGCAATTTTAAAAGCTCGGAAGTGAAAGATCTGCAAACTTGGTTTACTGCTCTTCCTTAATTTTCAATGATTTTACCCCAAGAATTTGAATACCACCGACATGTGCATTTATCAGCAAGTTAAACTGGAAAACTGCTTGCTGGACCACATGTTGCAACTTATATCTGGTTGTGATACTTGGTTGTTTTTTTTCTTTTTTTAAAGAAGTTAGTTTAGACACACATTTAACCATCCACAATTTAGTTTTTATTTTGTCATTATATGCTTCTGTGGCAAAAAAATCTTGTTTTTGTTCAAGACTTTTGCATGTATATTACAAACCAGCTCTGTAAGTAACATTGACTCAGTAAATTTGAGACATTTCCCTAATTTTACATTCAATTTTCTAGGAAAACTTTCCAAGACAGCTGCCATTTTCTGAAGGAGTGGTTAAGGTTTATAAAGAGGTAACACTGATTTTTCTTTGATCTAAATGAGAACGAATCCAGTGAATTGTACAGTCTCTCAGATCGGAACGGGGCATGTTGAGGCTATGTTTTTGACCAGTTGTTCATCTCAAGAATGTCAAAAAGCAGTAGGCTTAACATCCGTTACAAGAACTGTTCATGTTCATCACAGTCATTTGTAAACTTCTTTAAAATGATGGTTTTTGGGGTCTTAAACGTACAATGGTGAATTTTTCTTTTTCTTTTCAATAATGGTTTTGCTCTCTAGAAGAATTCAACTCCAAGAAAATTCACCTATTCTTGACATGCTATGTCAGTTGAAATAATCGCCAAAAAATTAGTTTGAGATAACACCCGACATTAAATGGCGATGCAACCTCTGTTTTCCCTCGAAATGACGTCTGAGAAACGAGCGCAGAAATTCCATACTGATGACGCGTCACTACCCAGATCTAAGTAGTACTTCTGATTGGTCGTGCTACATGGGAAATTTGTTTCGACCAATCAGGAGCACTAACCAGATCTGGGTAGTGACGCGTCATCAGTATGGAATTTCTGCGCACGTTTCTCAGACGTCATTTGGCGGGAAACCAGTGGTGGCGTTCGGAAATGTCGGCTGTTTTCTCAGGCTATAGAGGATTTTGAAAGAATGTAAAATCATTTTACTAGTTGCATTGCGTGCTGTTGTCGTTGCTAAGCTTCCTTTTACATTATACATACATAGCGCATTTAGCAAGGGTATGATGTTGGGACAGATGTTTTTAGATTAACCATGGTGATTTGTTTCCTGTGACAGGTTAAAAACTACATCAATTCATGTTTAAAATTCAATGAAAACCTCAATGTCAGGTAAGGTTGGTACACTATGACGTAATGCTGCTCTGTATTCTGAAATGGAGCCATGAGGCACGTTGTTTTTGTTAATTTATTAAATGTAGCTTTCATTGGAAAGTTATTGTGTGCATTTACTCAGTTGTTTTACATTGATGTTTTTGTATGAACTATTAAAATAATTTAAATGAACCATTTCCATAACCATGACTTAACGACATGAAATGCTGTTACATTATTAGCATGTTAGATATCATTAATATATGGTAGGCTATTAACGCCCACCCCCCCTCCCCCCCCCTCCCCGAATTTGTAAAAGTAGGGTCTCAACAGCGTTTTTGTACCTCAAATCACCAGGGAATGTTCCACAGTGAACTTCTTCTCAATGTTTTTGAAACACTATGCAAATTTTAAGTTTTTGCTATAAGGGCATGTATGATAATCCTTTTAATGAGCTTCTGATTTCTATTGATTCTATTCTTCTCTAGTCAAACTGAGATTGGTGATTCAGTGCGGAAATCTACCAATTTGCTGCTAACAAGAACTTTAAATGGTGAGTGTAATTTTATGCAAAGATTATATGTGTTACAAGACAGTTCTCGTTTAAATTCAAAACTTTATTGGAATGGACAAGGCATGTGCCCAGTGAAGTTCGAAGATCGTCATCTACTGTAACCACTTGACAAAGTCTTTGAAGCCTTTTGACAACGTTAATGCATTCCATGTAATGGAGATGTGACGAACCAATATTAGGTTTTATTACCCTTTACTATACGACAAATACATTAAAATTAGAGATAAAGGCATCCAAAAGTGCCTTGCACCATACTAGGGATGCTCCAATGATTGAATTAGGAAACTACGTAAATAGAATAGTCATGTGCTCCATGAACATACATGTATACAGTAAAAACCTGCGAGTAAGAAACTGCATTTCCCAAGTTAGCCTAAACAGGTTCTTTCGTAAATGGTAATTAACGTGCAAATTTAGGCTATTTAGGTTCTTAGGTTTTTATTTTCTGAAGAAAACATACTTTGTAGCTACGAGTATTTAGTGGAATTCAGCTGATCCCTTATGTAAAATCTGCTTACCAATACATTGCACTGTTGGAGTGATAAGGCACCTATGTCTCCAAAGAGGATCCTGAATGTTGACTAACATGTGTCTTATTTGCCCTTGTGTACAAAACTTTTTTTTTTTAATAAGAACCTGTTTCAAATCTTAGGCTAAACAGGTTCTTGTATAGAGTAGGCCTGACTGGCAAATTTTAGCCTAACGGGTTCTTCAAAACCAGGTTCTTACTCGCCGTTTTTTTACTGTATTTGTTAAGATAAATGATCTAATTCGATCTAATGTCTTTGTGAGAGATGACTTTTAACTTTAAGAGTTTGTTACCTTTCAGCTTGCGTCACATCAGTTATCAGAAAACCAGGAATGTCAATTCCTCAGGTTTGTTGATCTCATTGTCTTTCGTCTGTAGTTATCATTTCTACGGCTCTCTTGATGTGAAACACCAAAAAAGCACAAGTTTATGCTTTAGCTCCAAAGAGTATTCCAAAAGTTCCGCTAGAGAATATGGTGTCATTTGAATGGTCACACCACAGTTTATTCGCAAACCCAAAATTTACAACTGTCACTTCATAGAGTTTCATCCACAGACTAGAAAGGTAGAACTACATACGTAGTAATTATTGGATGAGGCTGATTGTGATCGGAAGAATTTTGCAGATCGAGTTGGGTGTTATGTGCCGAGGTCGAACACTAAGAGAAATTGGCTGGGAGATTTTAGCCAATTAGAAATGGAGAAATATTTTGATTCAATAATAATATTAAATAGCAACATGTGAACGTACTGCTGAAGAGCTTTCATTTGAGTATTACACCGCCTGATCTCTTCCATACAGTGAAAAGCCAGTACTGTTTACTGTATGTATTATATTAGGCACAACATTCAGTGTCAACTAATGTTTTGCCATTGACTCTTTCAAATGTTTATTAATTTACTTCAGTTGGTTCAAATGTCCATCAACAGTATTCATTTGGAAGGAGCCTGTAATCATCTTGAGGAGTATGTCACTGCCGTCACAGGGTAAGAACGTTTTTCATCTTATGGTGTTTGGCAGCTGCTGTGGAGTAGAATAGCCAAACATTTGAGCCTCTATTAGTCTTATCCACGGATACAGGTCGTGGGGACGGCGGAAAGAAAAATGATCTGCCAAAAAAATGAGGAAGTGGGGGTAGGGAGAGTCTCGACACCGTTCGCTAAAGGTTTGAAACCGAAATATCGGGCAAATATAATCCACCATTTTACTTTTGTTTTCTTTCTATATTGCTATCTTACTTTCTTAATTACTATATTGCTATCTTTACTTTCTATATTACAGCTGTTGTGAATACACTTGTTTAGTTGTACTGTTGGTTTCAACAATTCTTTTTGTCAGATTTATTGCTACCAGTTAAGGCAAAACTGAACTGTATAACAAAAGTGTTTTCTGTTTTTGTGTTCAGCACCTCCAGTGAGAGGATAAACGTTTCTCGTGTCTACGGTCTGTCATCTTTCAAGGTAAGTCTGTCCAGCAAGCTGTAAGAGAAATTCCTTTCCTATATCTGTAAACCAAAGCTTTAGCTGTTCTTCAAACCAACTGAAATGAGTAACTGAACAGTTACTGCCAAAGCGCAGGGGGCGTAAGTAGAATATCCATCACTTTACCATTGTTGGGGCGAATAATTGCGTTTATTATATAGAATATCCATCAAAATTCATAAAAACTATCCGGGACCCGAGCATAATCTCACTGATGGGTAAATTAATCGATGTCATTTTGTATATAATAAAAGAACGTATATTTTCTCGTGGCAAAACCAATATTTTACTCACTCGGGCTGTTCAAAAGGCCCGAAAATATTTTCTCTTTTATTTTCAAACGTATACACGTAATTCAAGGCAAAATTTTCTCTTTTTATTTTCAGTCTCCTCCTGACCCTCACCCGCATAGAAAGGTTCCTCCCTGTTCACCTCCAATCTGGGCAATCAGATTAGTTTGTAAGCAGCGAGACTCATAATCTGCAACGCGTTTTTGTTCGTATTTAGGACACAGAAGGGGGGGGGGGGGGGTCAGTGTACCAGGTGTTCCTGGCGGAGACCGTGGAAACTGGGACTAAGAATCGTTGCGTGATCGAAGCCACGCATGGTTTGCGAAGAAATCTTAGAAAAGATTAAATTCAGAGCTTTTCGGAAACGTGTCGGTCCGCGAATTCTATCGCTTCAAAGCGTTGATTACTTTGAAACAAGGAACACTACTGAGTCTTCGAAAAAAAATAAGAATCTTAATTAGCAAAACTGCTATGGTCGGGTGTTCTAAACTTTCATTTTATGCAAATGGCTCTTGTGATGAGCGTGCGGTTTATTTTCGGGGGTGATTGAAATGACGTGCCATGTAAATCACTTCTTTGTTCTCTGGCAATGATGTAATTTCTCTGGAATCGAGGCCCTTGAATTTTCGTGTATTTGTACGCGCATATGGCCTGCTACCGCAGACGTATTTCCGGTCGTCGCTAACATGCGTAATAAATCAGTTCAGAAACAAATAAAAAGTATCGACGACGATAAAGAAGGAAGTAAAAAACCTTTAGCGAGTAAATCCTGTTTCATGTAGAATTAATCGCCTCCTCATTTCTCAATCTAATCTCCAAGGAGTGAGACTGAACGCTGCTGTAAGAGCGTTCTTGTTATACAGTAAAAACCCGCGACTTAGGGCCTGTTTACATGGAGTGGGGGACCCCGGTCTAGTGGGGTTGGTTTCTTTTGTTTTCACGCTCTAGGGGACACAAAACAAAAGAAACCTACCCCACTAGACCGGGGTCCCCCACTCCATGTAAACAGGGTCTTGGAACCTGGGCCAAGTTGTTCGAACGCCAGTTAGTGCTAACCCAGGGTTAAATTTTAACCCGGGCTTCTTTTTCCTTTTATCAAAAACACACTATCGGATAATATTTTTATTCTTTTTAGAGTATCCAACCATCAAATTGTAGGCAAAGAGAATTAAATGAATTTGTTTTTAAGCTCTCATATCTGAGTTAAAAATTTCGCACTAACCCTAGGTTATCTTAACCCAGCTTCGAACAACCCGGCCCTGGTTTTTAAGAACCTGCTAGACTAAAATTATTTTCTTGCAAATGACCATCGCGTTAATTACTTCTCTCTTTTGAAGCCGTTCTCTAGCTTGTTCGGAGTAAAGTAGAGAGGGAGTTCGTTTTTCAGTTGAAATAAGATTTAATTTTTAGAACGGAAATTATCGGTATTGTTGTTAAGTTTTATGTCCTTTGATATCAGGATATGAGAGCTGAGGCAGAGCAGCAAGTTTATGACAGACTCAACATGAAAATAGGAGAATTTATCGACTTAGGTTTGTATAATAACACTGATTCATCTTGGCGCAACAACGTACAAAAAAAGCGCCCCAAGAGGCCCACCTGCCCCACCATTTCCTTGAATGATTAGTAACCTTCTGTGAAACCTCGTTGTGGGAACGAGGTTGCCGTTTGTAAACTGGGAGAAAGTCGGTGCAGTGCTGAGTGCACTCGATTGTTACTAATGCGGCCTGGGTACGAATCCCGGGGGCGGCGCCATTGTTGTTGTTTTTCGCCTCTGCTCTAAGCGGTTTATGACCGGGTACGTCGATTTTCCTCCTCCTCAAAAACTAATTCTTCCAATTAATTGAATCAGGAATGATAAAGAACCACTATGCCGATGACCTATACCCTGTCCACAGACGTTTTTCCTTTTTTCCGGCGAATTTTGCGACTAACACTCCAACCCCAACCCCAAGCGCTAGCGGCCAAAAAATCCCCCATGAGTTTTATTTTCATACGCGCGCTCGATAATCAGTGAGGTGTACTAAAAAACTTTCTTCATATGTTTTGCAGCAAATTATAACTGGGTCCCAGAGAAGGCCAGATTGCGTGCCAGTAGCTATTTAGTAGATCTTTTGGACTATCTCCAAACCACGTTTTTAAACTTCACAACGTTACCGGTAAGTTGACCGACCACTTCTTGTTTCCTTGGTAAAACTTGGTTTCCATATAATCGTCCACCAGTCGTTCTTAAAAAGTGTTCCGGTTATGGAGACGATGCTCGGATTCCGGGAAGCAACTATAGTGTCATGCTATTTGCTGTTGTTAAAAGCAATGTCACGCTATTTGCTATGCAATTTGCCATGTTGTTAGAAGCTATGTCACGCTTTTTGTCATGTTTTAAAAAATTAAAAGCTAGCTGTTTACTACGTTGTTAAAAGCAATGTCACGCTATTTGCTATGCAATTTTCCATGTTGTTAGAAGCTATGTCACGCTATTTGCCATGTTTTTAAAAGCTAAATCACGCTGTTTACTACGTTGTTAAAAGCTATGTCATGTTATTTGCCATGTTATTGAAAGCTATGTCACGCTATTTGCCATGTTGTTAAAAGGTATGTAACGCTATTTGAGCTATGTCACGCTATTTGCTATGTTGTTAAAGCTATGTCACGCTATTTACTGTTTCTAAAAAGCTAAATCGTGTTGTCGAATTAAAAGACACTGAAGTTGTTTCCTGTCGCCTCTTGCTAAGGATGGCATGGGTGGACATGGATCGAAACTTGAAAAAGTTGAACCCGTGTTTTCAAGTTTTAATGCAATGCCTGCAAAAGACGCACCAAACAATGTGCTCCCTGATGAAATATGTTTGGTATCTTCTTCATGATCTACAGGAGCATTTTGTGTATGGGTAAAGGTACCAAACTGTAACGTTTTAAGCACAGAAGTGGCCTAAAAAAGCAAGATCGTTGTGACATAGCTCCTTTAAAGTTCAGCTTTGACATGTTTGTTGTGGTACTTGTGCCTTACAGGGCAATGTGGCACAGACTGCATGTATGTCTTCTTGTAAATATTTGGCCACTAAGCTCAGAGAGATGCTACTGGATGAGGAGGTAAGACCTCAGTCTGTGTTCATTAGAGCGATTTTTGTATGACCTTGAAAAATGGTTTCTGTAAGTGCTTGTTATTTCTTTTATCAACCAATGGATGAAAAGATCAAAACATGGACTCTCCGTTTTCCCGCCAAAGAAAACCTTTATATGGAGAAGGGATTGTTCGATTGGCCAATCGTGTTGCAGTGTGACTTCAAAGCGAAGTGTCGTTTGATTTCTAGAAAGTTCAGTGGCATGAAGTTTTTTCACCCGAACGTTCGTTTAACCAACCAAAAGCCACGCGCGTTTGTATCCGTTCGATAAACCAATCAAATCGCTCTATTTCCGTTCGTCTGTTGTTTCTGTTTTATTCGCGCGTTTTCATTTCAAGGTTATACGAAAATCGATCTATCGTTAATTTGCTAGATCTGAGTAGATCCAATAGTTGTTTTGAAGTTTTCTCGATTGAATTGGTTGCTTCTCCTTTAGTCTTGATATAATTCTTAAGTATCAGGTTTTTTTATGGCTTGACCAAACCTTTCTTTTATTAACGTCTCAGTGACTAATTGTATTCCTCCACTGTTTCTAGGTGAAGCACATGAATGCTCATGGCTTGGAGGGTTTCAATCAGGATCTTAGAAAGTGCGAAGGTAAACTGATGTTTACTCATCCCCTTTGGGCGATTTGGCGAGACCGTATTTCGCGGGGTTTTATTTTTGCTATTTCAATAGGCAATTATGAAAAAAGGACATTAAATTTCAAGGCTCAAGCATTCTCAATTAAATATATTTTATTTTTCAAAAAGTCTGAACTTATCAAAATTTCTAGATTAAGTGGAACAAACGAAACACATATTAAAGAATCTCTACTTGTAGATTCTCTCCTCCATATGTGAAAAAATATATGCCATACAAAATAAAGGAACTTTATACAAAATGGAACTTCCCAGTAGAACCAGTTAATATACTGGAAGATGTACACTTTAAAGATGTAAAAAGTAGTAACGTTCCCAACGATTTTGAGGATTATTGTAGTTTATTTGCCTTTCTTCCCTCAATGTCCCGCCCCCCTATTTAAATTCATGCGCTGTGAGGGAGCCTGGGAAAGAATTAGCAGGCTTGTACTTGAATACTCACTTAAATCAAATAAAGTGTAGATTGGACGCATGAATAAACCCTTTTTTCAGAGTTCGTCAACTCAAATCCCGTGGAAGGCATAAGTGATGGCATCCTGCAGATGACATTTATGGAACTCAGACAGGTACCGTTGATATCATAGTATCTTAGGATGTTTGTGTTGTGTTTGTGTGTTAAAATACAGTTCATTGGCTGAAAGGTATTGGAACATTGTTGTCTTATTTTGTTTGGTTTTACAAAATATTTTTTGTCAAACACGCTCCATCGTTTCCTAATTATTGAGAACTTTTAAAATGTGATAGTGCTTTATGACATCGGGAAAAAAGTATCTCCTGGAAATAACCGCAGAGAGTTAACCTGCGAGCAGAGGCTACATTTTCGCGTTATTATGAGCTCGCAGGGTACGTTCGTATGCGAGAATTTGGCGCAAAGGGATGCATGAAAGCTCAGCAAGACTAACGCAATGTTCTAAACCGGTCAAGAACAATTTATTTGTCCAAATGTCTGGACGGATTTGAACGGTGGTCGGCAGAGGCTACTTTTTGCACGCCAGCTCATACCACGAAAATGTAGCCTCTGGTCGCAGGGTACAGAGAGTTGGTAAACACAACCAAAGTGAAGGCGAGGAAAATCTCAACATCACTCTTTAACTTTTAAGACTGCCTAGAAAAAACATAACACAATGTAAAAGGTACTGGCATTGTTAAGTTACTGTCTAGTAAACTTGAGCCCGAGTAGTGATGATGGACGGTTTGTTTGTTTTCTGTTGCTAATCAGTTGATAGATTTGCTGTTAAATGAAGACTGGTCCACATACTTTGCTGATCATGGCACTACCACCAGTAAATACAGTCGAGTGAACCCTAGCGTGGTAATAAAACTCCTAGAGAAGTAAGTGACGTAAGAATCTATGGGGTGGGTGGGGTGTGTGGACTTAAATGTTAGTGAGGATAGCTTTGCTGATTATACCCCAGCGTGGTAATAAAATTCTTAGGGAAGTACGTGACGTAAGAATCTGTGGGGTGGGTGGGGTAGCTGGACTTAACTTTTAGTAAGGATAGCTTTTCTAGTGCAAAGTTTTTGTTTGACCAAGAAAAAAATGTCACCACATATTTTTCTATTGACACTACCAAGGAAAGGTATCAAGCAAAAGGGCCAATCTAAATAGTCAAAACAAAACTTGCTTTATCTGAGTTGTGTCCTCTTCGTTATAAACTTCCTCCCAATTTTAAAGGAACAAGATGGTCAGTGCGGTGAGAATGGAAATTGGGACCCGCTGATTTCAAATGCAGTGTCTTAGTCAAGCGGATTATGGCACCCTTATAAAATGGTTGCGTGAATTTTGCAAGTCTGAGTGCCGTGTTCCCTTAATGATAAACAGAGATGTCTTTTTTAAACGGATGTTTCTTGAATCTGATTTTTTTCCTCCTAGGATGATGGACACGGGAAAGAAACGAATGTTAGCGATAAAAAAGGCCGACCGAGATCGTAAAAAACTCAATGAGACAATTCTGAAAAGACTGAAAACCCTTGATGCCGAATCTTCGGGAGCGTCGATGATGTAATGTGCTCTACACTCCGGCAACAAGATGCAACAATCTTACCTGTAAACAAAGGTGTGAAGAATACCTGTAAGAGATGAGAGATCGTGGCAACATCTCGTTCGAAGATGACATTTCAGTGATAAATCATGTGCAGTGCACACAGGGACGCGTAGGGGGAAAATATTGCGGGACACGAGTCCAGTTCTCCAACCAAAGAATTCTGATTGAGGTCCCCGATTGTCTATTGACTCAAGTATTGATTCCAATGAAGGGAAGAGTTGCACAATCTTACAAACAAAGGTTCATGTCGCAATTGAAGCAATTTGCTTCCGCGACATTCACCTACGAACATATGTGACGTCTATGCAACAAATTTGTTCTAAAATACAGAAACAACCCGCGAGTAAGAAACAGCGTTTTCCCAAGTTAGCCTAAACAGGTTCTTACTTAAATGGTAATAATTAGCAATTTAGTCTCTTTAGGTTCTTATTAAATGGGTTCATTCGTAATTTCTGAAGGAAAAAAATATATTTTAGCTGAAAATATTAGTGGTATTTAGCTTATTCCTTATATGAAATCTACATACCAATACAGTGCAGTTGGAGTGATAAGGTAGCTTTGTATCCAAGGAAGATCCTGAATGTTGACTTATCTTATTTGTAACGCCCAAAAACCCCCTCCGTTAAATCGCCCCTCCGAATATAAGGCCCCTTTAGGCTTGCCCTCGAATACAAAGGCAAAGCAAAAATGGTTTGAAAAATATAAGCCCCGGGGTCTTTAATTTGCCCAAGTAAGTGTCTTATTTAGAGGGGTCTAACTAATAAATGTTAGCCTAACAGGTTCTTAAAAACCAGGTTCTTACTCGCGGGTTTTTACTGTATCTGTTGCGCATATTTCAAGGTCTTTCCCGTTCCTGTCGTCCTTTTAGCTTGAATTGACTTTTCTCGGGACAAGAGATAGAGGCAAGGAAGGCGCTTGAAAAGAGTTTAGCAAATGCCTGTACAAAACGGGAATTTTTAAGTTCTATGAACTACACCTATCTATGCGGTTGGTTTAATGTGGCTTTGCTGACTGTAAGCGGCAAAACATCAACGTGCATGGCAGTGTTGTCAAGATATGTAAGTGTAATGCCTTATCCTGATACTTTGTGGTTTTCCTCTTTGAAACCTATGAAGCTCACTGCAGATTACAGCAAAGTTTTATATTGATATTTACAGCCCCCTCAGTATACTCATCAGCCCCAGTTTAACTCTCGCTGCTGTCCCATGTTTGATTATCGTGAACGTTTTGCTGGGCAGGCCTTAATGACCCCTACCACAACGTTTCGCAGTTTTAGTCTAATGCCGATCTTGCGGCTGTTTCACACCACCGTACAACAACGTGAGATTCGGTAACATGCTGAGAAGAGTTTAAACTCTTTTAAGCTTTGTCTCAGCTTTGTCACAGTTCTCTTGTCCTCGAAAAGTTGAGGCTGATTTTTGTTCGCCTCGTACATGCGCAGTGTAACTAATTTAGTAGCCTGCGAACGGCAGACGTTTCTCCTCGCTCATCGCCGGTGAGGGACGTGGAGAAACGTCTGCCGTTCGCAGGCTACTAATTTAGCGCATGCCGGTGTAACTTATTTCACTCTTCATGATAAATCTGTCCATGGGAACGCCGTGATTGTTTGACCCTGCATGGTTTCAATCTTCTTTCACCAAATATTGTGAGAATTTGTGGCTGCCTGAACTGGGCTTAGAAGAAAACAACGCTTTCCCAAATTACAATAATTAGTAGCATGAGAAAATGAGGAATTTTCCACATGTTATCTTAACCACCAAATAAGTCGATGAACTTGTTTTGAATTTTTCGTAAATAATGAATGGCTTAAGAAGCTTCACCGGGCATTCGAAAAGGTAAAGAAAACTTTACCATGGAAAACGTTAAGAGGCTTTGTGGAGATAAATTCATTTAGTTTGTGTTCAAATTTGAAATTTTAACTACTTTTGTATGACAAATTTTATAAGTTTTCAAAATAATGAATATTGTGTACAGACTATTCTCATGCATATAATTAGGTTAACAAATGTTATCTGGTAATGTAAAAATAAATAGGCTGCAGTCAATTATTAAACATTTTAAGTCAGGATGGTATGTGTGTTCAATCGCTTTGACCTCCTAAATAAAATGACCCTGGAAGAGACTAGAGTGGATACCCCCAAATCAGTTTCGTGCCGACACGAAAAACCATCTGTTTTAGTATGAATGGTAAAGTCAGGGGAACTGGAACTAGTGGTTCACACGGTTGGCCGAGAGGGCTTGGTTCACTAAATCCCCATCTCTTCTTTTCCATTAGATCCCATCGAACGTAACCCCTTCTGACACCGCATGAAATTTACTCAACGTAGTTTTTCCCAATACTAATTAGGGTTAAGCACTGCCTTTTAGAACTTTTACAGATCAGGGTTAAGCACTGCCTTTACTGATTAAGGTTAAGCACTGTTTCGAATCTGGTTAGGTTCTTCGGGTTGGCCCGGTTGATGCTATATTTTTACTTTAATTATTCCACCTCCATCCAGCAAATCCTCAGATCGGTGCTAGGCAGCTTCGATCCGTTACAGAAATCACGCATAAATCACCGTTTTCAAAGTGTGAACAGAAGCCCAATCCGGTCTGGTTTTCGCGCCGGCGCAAAAGGTATCCGGTACACTGTGAACATGGCTACGCCAACGAGTAAGCAAACAAAGGCCGAACGTGTGTCACACTTTAACGTACATTTGTTTGCCTTCACGGCACATGGAGGACAAGGGGACAAATGATGATTTGTCTTTCTTCCGAACTAGCCTGAGACCAGGCTCCGCAGTAGGGAAAAAATGTGTAAAACGGAGTGAAACCGCCTAAAAAAATCAGCAAGCGAAGCAAGCTGAGCGGTGGACTGGGGAGGGAGACATTTGACCAATCTGAGAATGAGACCAGAATCTGAATTCATGTCACCAGGATCCGCCGCCCTTTCCCCCTCCCCAGTCTATCCATGTTTCCCCCTCCCCACTACCCATCCAATACAATGTTGAAAGGGGTTATACCAAGGGCTTCACGGTTTCAACCCTGTCGGTGGGGTGGTAAGAGGGACTGGGAGGGTGCAGTCTGGCGGCGCCGAGAGCTTGCAACTACGTCTCTCTCTGGAATTTGAATTCCACCTCCAATTCCCCTGAGGCTCCCCGTCGACTGAGCTGTCAGATTTCCGCCAATCAGCGCGATACGGAAACGAGCGCGAATATAAAAAACCATGAAAAAAACGTGCCAAAGGTAATGACGTCATTACTTGTCATCTCCGCCGATCAGCATACACCACTTGCACATCTCCCATAGTGCACCTTACTTGCCCCGCCCCCCGCCCCCATTTCTCTTGGGTATTACAGCTGTCTCAAAAGAAATTGAAAACAATGCTTATGCAAAATTTTGGAGGCAAATAAGGTGCATTATGGGAGATGTGCAAGTGGCGTATTTCCCATCGACTTTTTCGATGCAGATATTCAAATCCCAGAGACGTAATTGACCACTCCAGAAAATACCATAACATACCATGATACTGTTTGTTGGTCACTCCAAAACTTTGCATAAGCATTGTTTTCAGTTTCTCTTGGGCCATTTTAACTCCTAAGAGAAACTGAAGACAATGCTTATTATAAATGTTATGGTGTTCCTGGAGTGGTCAATTGTAAGCTCTTGCTAGCAGGCTATTCACCCCGGAAGCGGGAAGAATTAAAAAGACCAGCTATATCGCTACCAACGAAAAACATTACAACAAAGGAGACTGCCTGGTTTTGTTGATAGCCGAGATATCTTACCGGGTCTGAGACGACCAGACTTAATTTTTTCGGGGTTGGCTTGGCTGTTTTAAAGCTGTAGTAAATTAAAGCTAAGAGTCATAAGTGTTGGAAGAAAAAACAATTTATTCTCAAAATAATTAAATAGTTACATAATTTCTCATTTTGTGAATCAATGGTTCTGAACAAAAACAAAATTGGATTATTTTAACTGTGAACTAGCCTGGATAGACCATGACACGCGGTATACAAATCAATGTATTTGTCAACTCAAGCCTCGAGTCGGTGAATTTGTTTACAGGAATGTGGGAACAGACCATTATATAGTTACTCCAAATATATTTTAAAAACGTGATTTGGTTCAGGCCACAGCTGTTCAAAAGATGGATAGCGCTATCCACCAGATAAATCTCTATCCACTGGACAAGTATTAGGGAAACCAATTGCACTATCCACTGGTTAGAAATTTATCCGGTGGATAGCGCTACCCATCTTTTGAACAACTGGGGCCTGGGGCCCGTTTCTCGAAGCTCCCGGTAATTACCGGGCCCGTTAAGCTGTTTTGTTTTCCATTTTAGAAGGAAGTTTTAAAAGTTTTGAAAATTATACAGTAGAGTTATTAGCTAACGAAACAAAACGGACTTCATTAGAGGTCAGAACACACCCTACTTTTCTTGAGACTTTGGTTTAAAAATATGATTCCGGGCCCGTTAAGTTACCGGGACTTTCGAGAAACGGGCCCCAGGTCTGAATCGTGAAACGAAGAGACGATTTCGCACCCTCTAGGTTTTACGGAGTTTAAGGCTATTCTCACGCTATACTGGATAGCTTCTCTTGCCGACACCAAAAGCTATCCGGCATAGTATGAACACCTATCCGATAAGTAACTCTCCACGTTAGAGCCCGGGGCGGGGCAGCTTCAGTCCATTACAGAAATCGCGCTGACATCACCGTTTTCAATGTGTGAACGGTCTGGTTTTCGCGCCGGCGCAAAAGCCATCCGGTGTGGATAACTGACGATACGTGAACGTAGCTAAAAAATACCTTTTTTCAATAAGCTTGAATACACTGATGAGTCAAACATCAGTCAGAGTCATGAGTCAAACGCCGGATGGCCAGGCAAGTTTTATAAATAGTAGGCAAAAAACAGGTTTTTATACTAGGATAAAAAAACCGAGATGATGCACCGTAATGCCGAGTGGTACTGGAACATCAAGCGTTTTGCAAAACCTTATCTAGGAGGTGTTTGCAACTTAATTTGGCTGTTTGCAAAGAGCTGTTTGCAAAGTTTCTTGAACTTTAACGAACGAAAATGAGAATGTCGCAAACAGTCAGTGTCATAAGGTACATTAACAGGTTGGATATTTGACAGCAACAAACCCACACGTAACAGAAGTCTCCGTTAAATACCAGGTAGATACGTTGGATAGAAGCAGCATCTTCAGCATTTTTTCACGGCTTGGTCAGTCAAAAAAATAGTTTGGAGCGTTCATTACACCGTAAATGGTCCTTACTTCCACATATGACACACGCTTTTAGTCCCCCGGGGCCGAACACCCGGTGGGGTTGTACCGGAGCGGTAGGTGGCTCGGATGAATCATCAGAACTAGAATAATCCGTAGGCTTGGTGGGCGTGTCTCTACCTCGCCCACTCTCCCTTATGGGTGCAGTTCGATGGAGTTTGCTTTGTGATGATTCAACAGACCGTTGCCATTTAACAGCTTGCCCAGATTGTGCCGAATTGTTTGCTCTATGTTGTTGTGGCTGGTGTTGCGTACTACTTTGCGTACTCTGTTCATCATTCCGCCAATTCATGCTGGAGTCAGCTCGTGTTGGGTTGTTACGTGGCGCACCGCTAGCTGCCGCGGTTTGCTTTGTTTTTGACTTGGTACTCAGGACCGTCATGCGCATTTCTGTGTCCCCACCGTGGGTGGGGAGAGGAGAAAACCCTGGAGGAGGACGTGAAAATGTTTTGGACTGATTAGGTGGCTTCCCACCGGCGGCAGCGTTTTTAGGCCTCGTAGTCTCCGATGTTAAATTCTTGAGCACAGCGCTATATGACATAGTACCGACCGACTTAATTGGCTCTGGGCTTGTTGCCACAGAGGTGCTTATATTAGGAGGTTCAATAGAAGTAGCGGGTATAGGAGCCATCCTTTCGGAAATATCGCTTACAGGGTCCGCTACTGTGTCATCAGAGTCCTCCTGGAAGTACTCTGTTGAATGCCTTCTCTCAGCCCTGCTAACAAACTTGCGTGGTCCTCCTCGACTATAAGGTGTTCCATCGTGGCCGGGTTGTTCTTTAGGGGGGCTAATTTGTCTCGTGGGTGAAACTCGTCTTGGTCCTCTTGTGTATTGAATGCCAGTTAGAATGAGCTGCTGCAGTTCCTGGTTGAGTTTGCGTATTTCAACGTTTTTTTCAAATGATTTGGTTGGTGACGGAGACTTGGACGCTCTCTTTGGTTCATGGGTGTGGTTAGCTGTTGTTGTAGGCGCTTTCTCACTCTTCGGTTTTGAGGCCTTCTCGTTGCCTTTCTCCAACAGACCTTACGGAGACAAACACATCGCCTCAATAACAGTAATCATCTTATAACAACCACCAACTTCTTTATCTTTATAACACTGCACGATCAAGAGGGTCATTATGAGAACAGAGACGCCTTGATTTTGAACAAATTTTTCCCATCAGCAAGCCTTACACTACGTAAGTTTAACATGCACCCGGGCTCAATTCAATATTGTTTTCACAGTCAGAAAAAATAGTTACACGTGTACAACACACTTGTCTGAGTTTAGTTAAATTGACCACATGATGAAAACATACGTCAGAGAAGACTCTCTACTTTCGCAACACAAACAGCAAGAAACGGGAAAATAGCACGTGGAAGAAGCGTCAGCGCGCAGTGCGAAGGGGAAGCTGAGTAGAAAATGAGCGAACGAGAAAATAGCTCGCAATTTTATCTTGTTGAGTTAAGAGGATATACATAATCGACAAAAAAAGGCCTTTAAGGACGTTCCTACTATATACCTCGCGTTTCCTCGATTACTGTTCATATTTAAAATGAAACGGAAATTATCAGAAAGCACAAATCTCACCTTTATCCAAATACATTCTTATTTCTAAGATAACACCAGGAGGGAATCCTGCCTCCTGAGGGAAACATAAAGTAAAGAACTATTAATACATAGGCAACTCTAGACAGTAGAAGAACTAGGCTATTTCAGCATCTCAAATGCCTGGAGATTCAGAGGGTCGCATCCTGGATAAATAACTAGAAGTAGATAAATCGAAGTCATTCTCACCTGAAGCGTTCTCTTTAGCTCTTCCCACTCGGCTGTTAAAAGAGAGTCCTGGGAGAAAAAAGTAGAAAACACATAAGGTTTCTTTGCTTTAATAAACATTAATGTAAAAGGCAACGAGCCACACCCACGACTTGGGCTAAAATTTCACAATAGAATTTCGACTGTTTTTACCAGCGAAAATCATAGATTATTTGTAACAAAAGCACTTGATTATTTTAGTACAAACCAATTAATCTAAGGTCTTTCAGAACAGCTCTAAAATCTGATAACACAGCAGCTTAGCCACTCTTGATGTCATTGCTGTGTAAAACGTTTCACGTCAAGGGCAATGATTGAGGATATCAGTAGCAACAACAACAAATCATCTAGAAATTTTTCACTCCTCAAGCTTAAGAAGAAAACAAGACAGACAATATTTAAGAGCAAAAAAACTTACCCTAATGCAGTTGTCAAAAAATTTGGGCAGCAAATCCTGAAGTTTAAGATTCTTTAGCATTGATTTTACTTTGCTGTAAGGATCCCACTCTAAAACGCGCAAGGAAAAACATAATGTTAAGCACTGACACTGAAACACTGAAAAAAATTAAGGTACAGAAGATCATTTTTACTTGTTTCTCTTTAGGCTGGAAACTTAAAACATCAGGACCGGATTTTTCAAAGCTGATGTTTGAACTTTTTTACCCTTTTCTCATTCAAATGGCCGCAAATTTCGCCAGGTTCGTTTTCAAAATATCGGCTATATTATCTGTGTGGATTTCATACAAGGAGCCTGTACTGAGTCTCTAGACAGCCAAGTCCAAGGAGCAACTACTCACCCTCCCCACCCATGAAGCTTATGACTAGTCAATCACTTCCCCCAAGCTCGGCTAGTAGTGTTATGATTAAGAGTCACCACATTGATTTGGCTGGCCTAGCCCGCAGGAAAAATTCTCTGACTTAGCACTGCTTTCTGACATGAAACTCTAATCAAAGTGACAAAATCTCCCCTCCCTACCCCCCTGGTTTTCACACAAAACAAGTCAGCCACCCACCCACAGATAGGTCTGGGCCTGGGCTCTCTGCTGACACCAAGCAAGACAGCAAGCCCCCTGGTTTTTTTTTCCGGCTACACTGGCTTGAACACGGGCGGTGCCCATGTTCAAGCAAAAACTTATCGGGCACCTTTTAGCAAAATCACACAGATATACATTCAGTTGAATTCATTATTATGACACTGAATACAACAAACTACATTTGGCACGCCAAACACAAAGTACGTATTATTATTATTATTATTATTAAGCATATAGACCTTCATCCTCATCATTCTCTTCAGTCGCCTCTGGCTGTTGCTCTTCTGTCATGTCATCCTCAATGAACACTTCCCCTTCCGTGAATTCATTCCCAGTTTCCTGCTCATCTGAGTCTTCCTCTACTTTCCAACCTGATGCTCTTAAAAGTAAGATGTCCAACAGAGTACTTTTTACAGGTCTGTGGAGGTGAAAAGAAGGACGCCAATCATTCAAACGAGAACCCACGGCTTGGCATGGCAGAATTGTCAATTTTTAAAAAAATAGCTTGAGAAAACAGCAAACATTTCGCGACACCATCACTGGTTTCCCAGTGAAATCACGTCTGAGAAATAAGCACAGAAATTCCATACTGATGACTGACGTCACTACCCAGATCTGGGTAATACTTCTGATTGGTTGTGCCGCTTGGGGAATTTGCTTCAGCCAATCAGAATCACTATCCAGTTCTGGGTAGTGACACGTCATCAGTACGGAATTTCTGCGCTCGTTTCTCAGACTTCATTTTGCGGGGAAGCCAGTGGAGGCATTGCGAAATGTTTTCTCAGGCTATTAAACAACCAACCAAACCAAGAAAGTTATATCTTATCTCTATGAAATGCACATGACTTACACAGCTAGATCTTGTGACAGCACAAGGTCCCGGATTGTTCCAAAATACCTGGAGATCTCATTCCTGAGAACCACACACAGTAGATAAAAGGTCTGTTAGTTCAAAATTAAATTGAATTAATCTAGTTTTATTTGCATTTTCCTTCGTCTTCTAACCCTTAGAATAATTATTCATGCATAAATTATTAGGGTTAGGAGACCAAGAAAATTGACACTGTTTTTCACAATGATAAATTACATTAATTTTATTCTTAGGGCTACTTTAATTAGGTTACACTTCAAAACCTGCAACATGCACGTGCTTTTGAGCATTTACTTGAACAAGAGAGCCTAAAACAGTAAGAATAATGGACAAGTCTAACAGAGCAGTTGCAACAAATGCAGAAAATTATACCACAATACTATGGTGAACTATGTTGTATTTTTTGAGAATAAAAAGCCTAAAAGGCTGTCGTACTGACCCTTCTGTGAGGTCAATGGTTGGTCCTGTCACCATCAGAAAGCTCTTCAAACAAGCGGCATTTAGTTTGTGAATAAGTACTGAATCTGCCTACAAGGAATACACATAAAATGAAAGCAACACAGTGGTTAAGCATGAACTTGACTGCCACTTCTGAAAATCAATACTGCTGGCTAATAATTATAGTTCACTGATATGACTTTACCTGGTCAAATGATAACCAGTTATGTAAACTGCTGGCTATAAGGCCATCCACTGAGAATTTAGACCTGTAGCATAAAAAAGGGATAAATCATTTAATAGGGTCAGATACACACACACAAAGTATCATAGCCTGTTACAGGCTCCAAGATAGTCAGGTCCGCTGAATTGAGAAAGCGCAAACGCGAAAAATAAAACGAGAGGAAACTTTCCCGCCCCACCAACTTTTCACGTGCCTCTAACTTTAGCGTTTTCCCCCACTATCCCAGAGCCTGGAACAGAGAGACATTCCATGGAAGTGCTCCATGCTATCAGCAGTGAGAACACAGGTTTGGCATGACCTGTCTCCAAACTAATAACATGATTAAATAGCCTTTTTCAATAAACAAGGAGAGGTGTTCCACAAGGGTAATACGGACCCTGATAGAAAAAACATGGATGAAAAATTTGGTAAGGCTATGATTTTTAGCTGATCCTTTTGATATAGCTACAAACTAACAGCAAAATTTCATGGAAATGACATAAGATGTTAACTTAATGTACGCTGGAGCAACAAAGTACAGAGCAGGGGGGTTGTAGACACTCTCTTCTTGATGAGAAAGAGAGGAACAGAGGTGTTGGGAAGGAGGACAGGTATTTAAACTACCAATTCTTAGCCTGCATAGCAGTCATTTCCATTTTCTTTTAGCAATGTGAGAGAAGTGCAAAAAATGAGGAAATGCAATATGGGAGCAAAAAATAAGGAACACGGGGATCGAGGGGTGGAGAAGGAAAGGATGGTTTGTTCATGCTGAACAGCATTTGATAAAATGTCTGTGGTCAGCAATCCATTTGCTTTCCTCTCCTCCTCCACTCCTTATCTTCTGTTTGTTCCCACCCAATGCCCTCTACTCATGCATCTTTCGCATTTCTAATCCCCTTGGCTAAAAGGAAATGGAGACAAGAGGTGCACAGGTCACTCCCAATACTGGCTTGCTGGATATTTTAGAACAGGTGCATGCATTTTTTATTCAAAATGATGATTTTGAAAGCATGAAGTCAAACAAACTGTAAAACTGTATTGATTTTAATTTTCATAATACTCGACCCGCAGTCAGCGACAAAATTGTTGACACATTGTACTCAAATAGGGTCACTTCAGAGAACAAAACAATCCACACCCCTACCCCCTCCCCTAGCTCCATTCAAAGTTGGAGTGTTTGTTGTTTTCTGCAGGTACCTCAAACAGCAGCACAACATTGCATGGAGAGGAGGGGGGAGGGAAAGCTTTATTTTCTTCTCTTAAAGTCGGTAAAACATAAGAAAGCCCCTCAGTTTAGGACAAAGTGTCTCAACTAGTTTTGTCACTGATGGTGTGTGTAATAATACTCACCCTGAAGAATCCTTGTCACCTAAAATTTCCAGATAAAGTTTCCCAAGAAATGATGAAAATCTCTTACATCTTTCAAGGCAATCTGTTGCACTGCATTGCTAAACAACCAACACAAAAATTGTTTGACACTGTAAAAATTAATATTAAACATCAGACAGTACAACAATGCAACAAAGTGGTGAATTACATGTACTGGCTGGTACAAAGTAAATAATAAATTTTATGCAGAATACAATTTCCAAAAAATAATATGAAAAAAGTGATATTATTCATACACGTCTTAATGTGAAAACCTACATTTCTTGCAGAAAATCCTATTCAAGACAAACCTACAGCCCCACAGTTTTTAATATCGAAGTAAGATTGAAAAAAGTTCTACACTCTACTCTTGCCTTTAGGACACCCCAATAAAACGGATAGCAGCTAAATCGATAATTCCAGGCAAAAATATATTGCAGACATTTGAAAGATATGAACTCCTGTTATTATGGACTCTTGATAAGGAGGACACTACCTTGAGGTCCGTACAGTGTCCGCTATTAAGGGAGTTGACTGTAAAATAAAACCGTCACTGCTAAATCCCTAATGTATCATTCTAACACTTACTGGTAGTAATTAAGTGTATAAAGAAGGGGTGATCATTGATTGACCATTTAAAATTCCCGTTTTGTTTTGTATTTTTCTATTAATACCTCCATTAAATCATCTTGACATTGTGTTACTTCTTTGTTGAGAAAGTCTCCAAACTCAGGAATACACATGTCTTATAAGGAAGCCGGAAAAAAAACCATACAAAATGATTAGCAAACATGAAAAATGCGACACTGCTAGTTTAATAATAATAATAATAATGATAATAATCATAACTATGACAAAATTGTCAAATCTGATTGGCTATCAGCTGCCCTGATTTCAGCCTTAATTGGACAGTTTAATAGGACAGTACGCGTCATGCCTTAGTAATTGGACAGTACGCGCCATCACGCTTTTTTTTCACTGCTAGCAAAACAAAATTTCGAATTTCTTGTGTTTTGATTTAAAAAATAGCCTATTATATCACAAATTTTGTTACAGTTATGATTAATTGGTAACAGAACTTCGTGTCGTCCAATTCGGTCCGTAATCATACTCATGATTAAACAAATCGGACTCCCGCTACGCGGTCGTCCGATTTTGTTAATCACTCGTATGATTACAGACCGAATTGGACTCCACTCAGTCCTGTTACCATTACTAATAATACCGGTAATACTAAATAAAAACTTTTTTTGTATAGCGCTTAATCAATAATATGCCCTAAGTGCTTAAAAATGCCTAATATCAATATGTATAACAAGATTAAAGATACATGTATACAATAACTAGACTATTCCTTACAAGAGTTCGAAATGTGCAGTTATCAAAGCCATTATGATTAACCTACTACTAATATTTCAAATACTCTAAATGGAATACTTTAAAATGTACTAACAATCATAAAATAATACTCTAAAATGTTCCAATAATCAAAAAAGAAATACTACTAATTGAATTTGTGGGCTTGTTTAAATAAGTGTGTCTTTCAGAGCCCTCTTAAAGGCATTTATGTTTGCAGACTGTCTGACCTCCAAGGGAAGGTCATTCCAGAGCTTTGGGCCTATGACGGAAAAAGGCCAATCACCATACGATTTACATGCAGTGTTGGTCTTACCAACCTCAAGATAATTCTGCACAGCAGACCTACATGTAAGTGATCTAGAAAAAGTCGTGTCATTACTGCTGTAAGCAATTCTGAGATGCAAGAAGGCGATTGATCATTAAGTCTTTTGTACACAAGTAATAAAATCTTAAATATAATTCTGCCATTTATCGGTAACCGATGAAGACTACAGAACCAATGAAATATTATGAAATTTCCGAATTTAAGTAACAATTCTAGCAGCAGTATTTTGAAGTGATGTAATCTGTTCAATTTTTAATATAAGCAGGTCATCCATAAAGTAATGAGTTGCAGTGGTCCAATTTGGAGCTAACAAACTCGTGGATCAGAATCTTTGTTGAGCTCCTGTCAGGATAGACAGTTTAGGTGTGACCATGCACACTTCAACAGGAAAGTAAACAGACTCAAGATCACAATAGAATCTAGTCTGTTTTTCAAACATTGTCTGCATTATTAATATTATTTTTAATAACTACTATTATTATTTATCTCAAACCCAATATTACTTTAAAATCTGAAAAAAAAAATTGACGAAATACCTCTAAACATTGTACAAACGCTCACAGCGACACTGCCATACTTGTTTCCATCCATCACTGTTTCAAGCAGTAATTTCAAGATTACCGACACCTCTGAAATTCCTTGAAAATCTTGTGACAATCTGCTGTCAGCAATAATTTTCTCAAAGTCATGTGAGTAGTCTTTTGAACTGTCTTCTACAATTCTGTCTAACACTTTCTTTACATTCCGTTGAAACTTCCAGATTTTCCAGTCAAGCTCTGCTTTTATTGTCTTATCCCTTGTATTTTCATGTAATGGTTGCTGTTTGAGAAATTCTGGTTGTTGAAACTGTAAGGTTTGTTTCTGCAAAGGCTGTGAGTTTAAAGATTGATCTTCCGTTTTTGCTTGTTTAGTTTGAAACTGAGCAGCTATGTGACTCCGCCCTATTTTGGGGCTGAAGGCAAAGTTAGAAAATGGTGGATGCGGTTGATCATGTTGCTGAAGAAGTGAATTACTTTGCGGTAATGAAGAATACTTGTCTAACTTGGGTTCTGAGTTCATAGTAGCTGTATTGCTTGTCTTTGCCCAAGCATTTCTAACATGAGCTGGCTGATACTTGGATGGCATCTCTGCCTTTGACACTGAGTGAGTAACAAATGAAAAACAAAAATGAGGATAAATGAACATTTACTACTATAAAACACTCTGATCCCCCCCTCCTCCTCCCTAGGGCACCTTGGTTTTACAGCCAGTGGACACGGCAGGAAGGGGTGGGGGATGACAGGGAGGGGTGGGAGCTTAACAGAGAGTGTGGGTGCTTATTTAAAACTCCTTAAAATTTGAAGAATGACCAGGGAGACATCAGGTTTTTTAACTTTGTAATCCTGCATTTAAGTATGCATCACTGCAAACAAGAACAGCTGTCTTACCGCTTGAAATTCCAGAATCCTGCCCTTTGGAATGGCTTAGAAATTCATTTGGACTTGCCAGATGAGGCCTGGCAACACGTAATGCTTCAACAGGTCCAGAATCAGCTCTTTTGAGATTGAAAGTTTCTAGGTGATCACTTTCCTTACTCTGTGCAAACATGTCTGGACTTGGTGGCAGGGGGACGTTGTTCAATGAAATATCATTTGAATCTCGTCTTGAATCAACAGCGTTCTCAAAATATGATGACCCTCCTTGCAGAGATTGCTCCTTAGATGAAAGCAATGAGCCACTGAGAGCATTTCTTTTCATGCTAAGTTGGTCTGTAGTAGATGTGCTATTTGTTATCCATGATGGTTGCTGTGATGGTGTTGGATGGAATGTGAGTGACTCCCACTGCTGGTCTAAACTCTTAGGTTCCTCAGAATGAAATAACCTACAATAACAAACACGGCTATCACTCAGATTAAACTTTGTGTCCTTGAAATAAGCAGTACCCTCATTCAACCTTGATCAACTTCTTTCCCCCCTCCCCTTATTTCTCTATTGTTGTTATTCTCTATGTCAATAACCCCACAGGTGTAATAAGCAAAACAACAACAGCTCTGCACATGAATCATGCTTGTTTGTCAATTTCTTTGTCACCCCTGCACATCTGTAACATGTACAACATGAAATTTTAAGTTCCCTTGAGAACATAATTCAAAAGGTAACAAATTTTACCATACATGGTCCTCTCTTTCTTCAACTCCAGCTTAATTTCCAATCTTTTAAAAGACTAAATTATTGAGAGAAAGTTTGAAAGGATGAAAAGATGGTTTTTCAGTCATGTTTTCATTCGCATCACATTATAAGATCATAAGGTCCCTATTCATTATATATGGCAAGGATGTCACTAGGAGAGCATTTGCTAGAAGTAAACACATTACTTACTTTTCTTTGTAACTGCTCTCTTTTCCCCAAGATCCTGAACCAGCTCCTGCATCAACAGAACCCTGAATTATAGAGAAAATCGATTCACATAATTTTCCAGAGGATAGTGTTAAAATCTACCATAATTACCAGCAACCATAGAGGTCTTCTTTACGCAGCCCTGGTCTTGTGATCTAAGATTTTTTAAGTTGCCGCGTAAATACAACGAGTAGGTAGAGAACCTGTTTTTCTGTTTTTCTACATTAGAAGCCAGGGGTCATGTTCAACCAACTAGGGAAATTCCCAGCCCCAAGTCCCTTAATGACAGCCCTTGTGAATATATGAATTAACATGCTGCAGAACCTTCAAGTGGATGAGAAGCTCATCATGAGGCCTCTGTGCAAGTAACTTTACCCAATGATTTACCAAATTATATTTGCTTCTGAAATAAACCTTCCATGTACAAGCTTTATATAGCTCTGCTCCTGTTACGAATCTTAAGACAGGGGCGGGTCCAGGATTTTTTTTAGGAGGGGGTGCACTTGTCTCTTGCTCTACTTTAACACCAATAAACCACGTAGTTTTTTTTTTTTGCAGAATGCCAGTTGTATTAGAAAACCGCAGGTCATATCAGGGGGGGGCACCGCTGCACCCTCCCCCAAGATCCGTCCCTGTAAGATGCTTACAGGAGAATTGCTTTTTGAAGATGCAGGATATAATATTATTACGCTTACTATACTAGCAAGAATGAGCAAAAAAGCTCCACTTTTATCTGGCTTTTGTACACTATCTCTTTACAACATAGGACAGTACATGTCACGCATGCTTAAGTAATTGAACAATATGGGCCATCATGCGCGCGCTTGTATTTTAGCTGTTTCATGCACTGTAAGTACCTGAGCAAGGCCTTCAGAAATTAGGATGTCACCAACTGAACTTTCTCGTCCATTGCTGTCTCTGCATGAGGAAAAAAACCATGTCATTGTCGAAAAGGTAAGAAAGTCCTACACATACATGTACTCACTGGAAGAGCTAAATCTATGCCAGGTGAGATATTTCACATATAAATTTAATTGTGTTTCATCTCTCATTTCCTTTGGGGCCAAAATTCATACCTTACATGTACATGTATGGCTGTAGGTGCAGGATTGAGTGTGTTACAAAGTAGAAGCATATGGCTACCAAATAAAAATGCCAGGTCACTAACCCATGAGCAAATGAAAGTGTGCATGACATTCATAACTGCAATAGTGATAATATAGGGTAATATTCAGGGCTTGAAAGTCCCATCCAGTCATTCGGGACAAGATTTTCCCACTGGGCATTCAGTAACTTTTCATGCTCACATACCATGTGCATGGTAAGACATTTTATAAGTTAAGAAAGGGGTTCAAAAGTTTGTCCTACACTGTACTCTGAGAACAATCTGGAATTCAAGTTTTTTCCAACGCCTGCTTTTCATTTAAAGAAACAGTCATACCATCCATACTCTTTACGTAATTCTTTTTCATCTCACTTTTAACTTAACTAACCTTATATACAGTTTCCCTCTAATACCATCTGAAAAATGTATTCTAAGTTTGTTGCTTGATGAAACAAGCTCCCTGAACCTTTTATTGGCTTGAGTAGACCAATGTTCGCCAACCTTTCAACAAAACAATAAATGTCATAAAAATGATAAGAAAGAATGAGTGACTGAGGCCATATCACACAGATTTATAAATTAATATGTATGTACTTGATACAGTGTATAATGATTGGGCCAGTACTGCCTGGCCAGCAGGCATGTCAGGGGAACATTTTTGTGTAACTCTGTAAAGAGTTCCTTTTTTACAGTGGGAATGAACTACTGTAGAGGCAAGAGGTCAGAGTGTACATGGGTCAGATCAGATTAAAATGTCCCACCCTAAAACGAATCCAATGCTATACACATTATTGTACATCCTCAGTAGTTTACATTGTGGCGCACAAAATTAATAGGGACAGGAACAAATGATATTAAAATAAACAAACAAGTTGTAACACACTCAAAGAATCTGATCTGGCTGGAAGCAGTTCCTGCCTTTATAACCAGCAATGTGGAGTCCTGAGTTGAACCCAGGACTATCAAAAACAAATTTAGCCAGAGGCTAAGGTGATGCTTGAACTTGGCAAAAATGTCCCCTCCCGTAGGCAAGGACAAGTAGGTTTTGCTGCTGGGCAAGTCACTTTGAACTATTAGGGTCCAGGCAAGTCATTATCTAACAAAATCATTATAACTAAGACAAGCAAGTAGTTGTCCTGGGCGTGTAAAACATGAGAACTGCTTGCCCAAAGGAAAAGCTGGAATTGAAGTTTTTTCTTTGAGCACGGTGGATCTCAAGTTGACTCCTTCTGTTTATGGCACAAAAGGGGCTGCAAAGCTAACAGCACCTAACTTTGTTCAAGTGTCATAACATTGTTGTTAATATAAACAGTTTCTTTTGTTTAACTGAATGACAAATGTAGTTTGACTTACAGGGTGAACACCTTCCAGATTAACATACTGTGCCATTGGCCGACGAGACATTATATCCCCAGGTGTGGAGGAACAGAGCTTGTTTAAAGGTACACACTCTGACTGGCCATAATCCAAGTAAATTACATCCACCACGCTTGTAAAAAACGAAACCGCAACAGTACATTAATACCATGCAAAGAAAATAAAAAGTATTCTCCTACAGTTTTCTTATCAAATTTACTTTGTAAGTGATTTTGCCTGGTTACAGTACAACCATGACAACATGAATGGTCTGAATGGCTGCTTTTCATATTTCCTCTTTGCGTGTAAAAGTGTCACCTTCAAAAACTGCAAGGAACTGATTGTGATTTTCACTTCATTTTGAATAGATACAAGTAACACTGTACGTTACAGACAAATCAATACTTTTGATTTAATCTTGGTTGGATTTCATCCTTTGTCTTATATCCCAAGGGGAAAAAGGAAATTAAGAATCAGCCTAGCCATATTTTAGACTGAAATGGAATATGACCTGTCCATATAAAAAATGCACTACCTCAAGAATTTAAATAGGAAATTAACCTTCCTTAGAATAATAAAATCCATCACAGCCAATTTTTTCAAAGGAGATCAAAATTAAAATTGCAAAGTCACTTACTTGTTGCTAAGTCTAGCAATCTGAGCTCTCCTCCACTGAGAAGTCTCTGTATGTCTGACGCACACAGGCTGGCCAGGTACAGGAGCTTGTTGAACACCAGAATGTTCTTGTTCATTGCACCATGAATTTAATGCTGTCATGTAAGTGTCAAACTGTTTCAACTCATTTAAACTGCCTGAAAATTAAAATAAAATAAATGAAATAACTACTCCTTATTTGATGTTTTGATAGCTCTGCGGCTCACGTATAACTGGTTGGTGTATTCGTTAGACCACAAGCACAAAAGTAAAGGAATTAGGTTTGATTCTCAGCAGCCATTTGTGGAGGACGGGGGGGGGGGGGAATGTGCAGGAGGTATAATATCTGTGAAGATTCTCATTAAGAGTTCTACTTGCTATTTAAAAAACATTTCATTTAAGCTTCAAAGTAGTACAGTGTACTTTAATGTGAAAATACCAGAGTAAATACAAAAACAAAATTCACAGTACACTGTTCTATGAGCTTCCCAATTTTATTATGTCTACTCTTCCATATCAGCTAATACAACATAAAACATTTGTTATTCAACTTTAAAAAGAAAGCACTGAGGGTCCTGATCGCTTTCTCTATCACAGGGCTGGGAAATGGAAAGTTAGTGATCTTACAGTAGGATAGGGCACTTCAGGAGTTTCAATAACTTTTGAAGTAAGCATTGAAACAAGCTAACATGGGTTGCCATTACATTCTGGCAGGTACCTGCTGGTCTCTAATTGAAATCACTAGGGCAGAGAAGGTATACAATGTCCCTGCCGACTTGGAATTGACTGAGTAAAAGCTTTATTGTAGCAAGAGGCAGGATGAGCGTCTTTGTTGACAACTGGTTTGCAACCATCGTTTACCTTTATATTAGGTAATTGACCGAGAAGTGAAGGTTAACTCATGATCAATAAGCTCATCCCCCCAAGAAAGTGAACAGAGATCAAATGTAATTCTAAACTCAAGCTGTGAGTCGGAAGTTTTTCTGGTTGTGTCTAGGGGTTGGGAAACAAAAGCAAACATTGTTTTTAGGAATACAAAGACATTTTTTGTTCAGGATTGTCCTTCCTAGGTCACAGCTGAGTACAACTTTACGGTCTACTTAAGCTTACCTATCTGAGCCCAAAAGTTTTCCACATCGATAATATGCGTGACTCTTACGATCCTATCATCTCTGGTTGTGTCTTCCTGTATCTTTTTAATCTCATCCTCCCAACTTTCTTTGGGTGAAAGAGGGAATACCGCCGTTGAAATAGGAGAACCGACTCGTGTAGTATTTTCGCCAGCAGATTTCGAGGCTTCCCATCTTGCCAAAGTTCCCCTGCCTCTTCCGCGGCCGGTCATCGTCTATGAGATCTTTTCATAACATTTGTACATGATCGTTTTTTGTCCTTTACTGTTTAGTCGTTTTTTTGCACAATTTTATAAACTGTAAACGTTATCTCTTTCATCAAAGACCAACGTGACTTGCGGTGAATGTAAACCATACGAAATGTTCCCACGTGACACATCTGCCTTTACCAGGGTACACTGTACTTGCAGGCACGCAGTCGACAAGGTGGACCACTCATGAAATCCAGGGAAGAATTTCCCGGTTTTGTTTAAACTTAATTTCCCACTCCTTCAACCCCACAAGCTGCATTCTGGCAAATATTTTCTAAAAATCTCGAAACCGCAACAGGTGCAATCGCTAAATTACTATTCGAAAAACCGCGGCAAATTAATCATCTTTATCCGTTTTTTCACACGATCCATTTTTTGGATTGTTCGTATTTACATTCGATTCCGCCGCGAAACCATGGTATAAATATCGTCTATTTTCTATCCTTACATGACGTAGAGATTGAATTTCCATCTACTCTTGAGCGCGTGACATTCAGGTGAAAATTCTCTCAGGAGGGCAAATTCAGTGCAGGTGAATGGTTCACCGTTCAGGTAATAACAAATGTTCGCAGGAACTCTCAAGAGTTGAACAATGCATGTTTTATTCAGATTATTTATAAGTTTCCTCTGTTCTTGTGCATAAACTAGTTTTAAGTTTCCTGGTTTAAACTGAGATTGCGTATTACTCAGCAAAATTAACTGACCTAATGTAACCATTTGCAATCGGGTCAATTGGTCTTATTATAAACTCTTCATAAAAAAGTTGCTAGTAGTTCGATCTGTTGGTGGTCTATAAAAGCTTTTTAAGTCTATCTGCTGCTAAAAATAATGAAATTTAAATTGTAGCCTGAACAGGTTCATACATGTATTCTGAAGGCGCCAATTTATAACAGAGAGACAAGAATTGCGTTACAGTTGTATGTCCCGGAAGAGCCGGCCGGTAGTGCGGTTATGTATCGGTCAAATCGAAGCTTCAACATGCCACCCCCGGGCAACCCCCCGGGCATTTGACTTTTTTGAAAATTATTGTTCAAATTCCCTCCTACCCGGGCCAAAATGCCGTTCAAATGCCCCATACTGGGGTCCATTCAGGTGATCAAACGCCCCCACCCCGGGGACATTTCACAGGCACAAAAATGACAGAAGGACGGCGGAAACGCCTTCAGTTGTCGAACAAAATCTTTATAAATATAACAAAAACTTAGAAACACTGTTAGCGTATTTACTACGAACAAAATTCTCGAGCAAAGCGGCGGAAATCGCTGCTACAAGGTCACTGAATGCTCAGCTTTTCTTCGTCATGCAACATACAAAGCGTTCTATAAAAAAGATCCCACCTATTGAGATTACTACATCATCATCATCATGACATGCATCATCGCTCACCTTATTAATTAACTTACTTGCAGTAGGTCAAAGCAGTTGACCTGAGCTTTTTATTTTATTTTATGTTGTTGTATTGAATTGCCGGTAGAGGTATAGAAATAGGTTCATACATTCAAAGCCTGAATCCAATATTAAAAATTTTAAAATTTAAATGCTTCAAATACGCCACAAAGCTTGTTTAAGCCCTTTCCTCGTAACCAATTGGCCACAAAGGCACAATCTTTTCCACGAAAATCCTCTAACACCGGGTCCCCCATTGCTCTCCACGCCAAAGATTTTACATGAAATCGAGGATGCGGTTCAAATTCCCCACCCCTAAAGCATGGGGATCAAATTCCCCACCCCCTGGAAAACTCTGATAATCAAATTCCCTCCTCCCCGGGACGGCAAAGGTGTCAAATGCCCGGAGTATGCCCGGGGGGGGGCATGTTGAAGCTTCGATTTGACCGATACATTACTTGTTGCCTTACGTGGCAGAATCTGTTTAATAGCCAGTCCCATGCTCAATATTCACCCAGGCCCATAATGGGAGGATCGTGGAGGCGGGGGGTGGGGAGTTACCTACCCACCCTCCCCTTGAGCCCCTCATTCTCTATTATGTTATGCTATAATTTTATAAACCAAGCAAAATTACAAGTGTGATTTCGGGATTGCATCATTCCATCTGATTCGGGACTATTAAACAATGTTCTTCAATTGATGGTCATGGATAAGAAAAGAATGTCTCATCTCAAAGGCAGTATATTTGCTGGCTGTTATGTCTCGCATGTTGCATTTATACAAGCTATCAAGGTTGACTTGATTTTACTTCTTTATAGGTTTGAAACAAATACTACAAGTGAAGCAAGATGTCCAAAGTACTGCTGGCTCTCTTTGCCTTCCTCTCTGTGGTGTCTGTCCAGTATCAGCCAACCTGGGAGTCACTAGACTCACGACCCCTCCCCTTGTGGTATGATGAGGCCAAGTTTGGTATTTTCATGCACTGGGGGGTATACTCAGTGCCAAGTTTTGGAACAGAATGGTTCTGGTACTACTGGAAGACTGGAAACCCTGCATTTGTGGAGTTCATGAAAAAGAATTACCCGCCAAATTTCCAATATGCTGATTTTGCTCCAATGTTTAGGGCAGAATTTTTTGACCCAGATGTTTGGGCCCAGTTGCTAGCTATGTCTGGGGCAAGGTATAAATAAAATTATAATAATTAAATTTTTTCTGTTACAGCCTCAAGGTATATAAATAATGTTACTTCTCAAATATTTCTGTACAGCAACAGCTCAGGAGCCTAGCTAACCACCTAGAAAATTTACTGCTGTACAGTCACGTTTTTTGGCTTGTTTTCACATTAGAGTTTTTATTAGTACACTTTAATTGCACCCAGAAATCAAAAAATTTGTCAGCAGTAAAAAATACTGACAGGAAAATGGTATTTTGATGGGAAAAGAATGTTTGCCTGACTTTTCATTACCTGAAGAGTGAAGGTTACAATTTTGCAGGAAAGTAATCTGAGATTTGCGTAATATATTAAACTGGCCCATGATTGAAAATTCCATGACGTAAGCCTAGTATGGGATGTGCATTTGCTCTGGGTTCTACAAACTCCTGTACTGTGTGTAAGTACATTTATGTATAATTCAAACATTGATTAATTTTGCTAAAAATACTTACAGTAGATGGAGTGGTGTATTTCATTGATTGAGAATCTAGCAGGGGCGTAGCCAGCCCATAGACCAATAGGCCTAGGCCTACCAATGTTTGGTTTGATCACTCTATCATTTGTAATAAATTATGCATTATTGGGGTGAGTTAAAGCATTTAAGAGCTCAAAGTTTAGGTGTGGTTACTGTGAGCTAGTCTTGCGTGCAATCAGAAGAATTATAAACAAGCTTTGGTCAGGATGTGGAAATGAAATTCTGACCCACAGTCAGCCAGGCCTACAACAAGTTGAAAAGCTAGTTATACCCCTGTCTAGTGACTCGAGGATCAGAAGTACATTTGATGTGTCTAAAACAGCAATTGTATTGGGTGGTTTATTTCAGACCATGCACCAATGCTTTACAAGGTCTGACCATTTCTGTCTATTTCCTGCTTGATCATTATGTAGGTATGTAGTTTTGACCAGTAAACATCATGAAGGTTGGACAAACTGGAGGTCTAATGTCTCATGGAACTGGAACTCTGTTGACAATGGACCCCACAGGGATCTTGTAGGTGAGGATCCTTTTTTAAAGTATATTAGTTTTCAGTTATTGTGGAGTGGTGATCTGACTTGAAAGCAATTATTTTCCATGGGTTGGGTGGGGTGGGGGGTTCAGAAATAGGGTCAGGATTTGGAGAAATGGGCTGCACACCCTCACCAAGAATTCATAGGAGTACTCCCCCCTTGATATTCTCACTTTTTGAAAAACTCAAGCATATTTCCAGCCTTAATGAGGATTATAAAAGAATAGATAAAGGCAGTTAACACTATTTCTTTTCTATTGACAGGTGATCTTGCCCAAGCAATTCGTAAGAACACAAACATCACATTTGGATTGTACCACTCACTGTTTGAATGGTTTAATCCCATCTACTTAAAGGACCAAGCAAATAATTACATGACTCAAGATTATGTTAAGGTGTCAGCTATTATTTGCATTCTCTTCCCATCTACAGACTAATTTAAAGTTCAACTTCATACGTTTTTTTATTATAAGTTTGGTTTTTAGAGAATTCCTCTCTCCTTTCATTTGACAAAATCCTTTATTGGTGGGATAGTTTGGTTCCTCGAAGACCACATGTTAAGAGAGAGTCATTCCCGGGTGTGGTGGGGGTACTTGTAAACATTTTAGACTGGAGGCCCCGCCCCAAGGTCCAACCCCTTACCTTTTTACCTACTGGTTTTGACAGAAAGGGTACCCCTTTCCTGTACCTTTAATTGACAAAGAGTACCCCTTTCACATACTAGCTTAGAGGTAAAACGCTGCATCCCTTTTAACTGACTGCTGTAAATGCACTGCAGGGTGCAAAGAAAGTCAGTTTTACAGCCTGCCATTCGGGCAAGCTGTAGCAAGTGTGTACTAGCCCACAAGTCATTTCGACTAGCCACCAAAACCCTTTTTGATTAGCAGGATTGATTACAATCCTTCTGTAATTTGAATTTCCCCAAAAAACAGCACTTGCCAGTCGGGCTAGTTAGGAACAAAAATCAATAGCCCGTTAGCAAAATCCACTAGCATCGGGCTATTGGACACAAATTTCTTTGCACCCTGCACTGACTTTTAAGTGTAAATGAATTACACTAAACCAGGAAGTTTCTTGTCTTTTTCATAGCCATAAAATGCACCTGTTAGCCCTTTTAGGTCCTATCACAGTCCACAATGACAAATTTCCCTAACTTTCTTATACTTTAACTAGTGAAATCCCTACCCTTTCGTATACCTGAGGCCTAAAAAAAGTACCTCTTTCGGGTGGAGCATCCCCATATTGGCCATTACAGGGAGTACTTCCCCTGGCCGTCATCACAATTCAGGATTGTGACAGTCTTCTTATTTTAGGAAGTGCTTCTTCCTGAGTTGTATGACTTGGTCAACACCTACAAGCCGGAGTATATTTGGTCAGATGGAGCTGTAGGACCAGATACATACTGGATGAGCAGAGAGTTCCTTGCTTGGCTTTACAATGAAAGGTGAATTAAAAAAGGTAGCCTGCTTAGCATAGGCGTACGGGCCGGGGGGGCGAGGGGGGCTGCAGCCCCCCCAAATTTTGGGCAACTCAGATTTTTTGGGCAGCGAGAGAAAATTTGGGCAAAGCCAGTTTTTAAAGACGTCTCCATGTTTATTTAATTATTTTAAAGACCTGAATATTAACTTGAAGTCGGCGTAGTAATCCAGTTACATTACAGTGGTTGCTTAGCATGTGATGAGTAATTTACATATTTGCAGTTTTTTTGTTGGGCACTATAGTGCACTGCACTAGCTGGAATGGGCTATTTCGAGTCGTGAATTGATTAAAATAAACTTTCGCATAACTTTCTAGAATCATCTCTACTCGAAGAACAGAGTATGGCAGATAGCATTTGGTAATGGGCATGAAAATGAAGAAGTGGCTGACTAATTCTCAGTTTGAATTACGAGAAGAATTTTAATTCAAAAAATCCATCGAGCGGTTTAAAATTATTCGCTAATTTGTTAAAGTAGACCGAAATGTTTACAAAACCGCTAACAAGAGTGTCTCGAGGCCTTCGTTCGATTCTAGCAATCAAGCAGAGCTATCTCCACGATCTTTCACACGTCTCTAAAAAGATTAAAACTACTATGAGGTGAAATTGCAGGTCAAAAGCGCTTCCTTTTTTACAGATAACGGCCAAAAATCAAGATTTTCCTGTTCTTACCGTATTTCTAATAATAAAAACTTCATTCCAAAATATCTCGATAACGCTCTTAAGGTTTTGAGAGGCGACCGTATTGGAGAAAAAAGCTCCTGTGAACGATTTTGTAAGGTTCCCGTGCCGGGAATCATTGCTGAAGTAAAATAGGTAATGGGCGGGGGAGTCATTTCGTTGTTATGACAACTCTGATGTCATTGCAACCCTGATGATGACAAATTTTCATCTTAATACAACTGTGGTCGCAATTTTTCCAAATGTCTGTTTATGACGACGTAGTTTATGCTCAGACTTGGTATTGACCCTGAAAAACCGTATCGAGCCACCTTCATTTGCCAGGACGGCCTATGTTGTTGCAATATGGCCCTCATTTCTTTTCGACTCTTTCGGAAAAATTTGGGCAACTTGAGAGATTTTTTTGGGCAAATGGTTTACCGCCCCCCCTGGCAAAAAATTTCCCGTACGCCTATGCTACTTAGCAGGTGTTTCCAATCTAGTTACTGCGTGAAAGTTGGAGCAAGCTCACTACGCAGGCTACAAAAAAGGCGTAACACTCTTGTGAGGCTTAGTCTCTCACCCAGACGTTCTTTGGGCTCGTCACGCTGGGAAGGAACACATGACGGGGCCCTTAGAACGTCCCTGTTAGGGTAAAATTTTATCAAGCGAGCTGGCAAATGCAATAGCGGCAAAATGTCTAAAAACAAACGTAAAAGGCATTATTCGACATAGGAACTAATAAAAAAGTTGAGTCATATTGAGGTAAACTTGATCATCCCTGCCCCAGGGGTAAGGTGGAGCCATTAAATGGGAAGGGGTGTGCCTGTATGAGGACAAAAATCCCCACACCTTTAACTTGTCATTACCCCTTGCCTGCCATTCAAGTAAAAGCTAAGAAATAATTTTTTAAAAAAAGCTGTTTTTGTTAAAGAACTGTTTGGTTTGGTTGACAACTTTTGTTACTTTTAACAAGGGATGCGAGAAAAAACAGTGGCTCCAACAAAAGGTACATAAATGGCTCCTGTTTTCGTGTGGTAATTTTTCAGCCCTGTTAAAGATACGGTGGTGACTAATGACCGCTGGTGCAGTAATGGATGTTCCTGTCATCATGGGGGTGTGTATACATGCTCTGATCGGTACAACCCAGGTAGGTCGGCTTATATATTTGACACACCTTGTACCATTTTGACAGTTTTGCGCGGTTATATTTCTGGCCTCGTCCACAAGTTTTCTCTTGTTTGGCCTTCCGTCCACACGTATCCGGTGAAAACCGTCACCGAAAACGTATCTTTAATGCTCTTCAGAGTGAAGATTTTTGAAAACGCAGTCTTCACGCCTACCTGCACCCGTGACACGGACGAAAACGAAGACTTTCGGAAACGATGACGTCATATATCATGTACAGCATTACGCATGCTCCGTAAGGGATGCTATAGGGTTTACTTAATCGTATTTACATCGTTTTAGCATTTTCTTGTGGACGGGCGTAAACGATTCGAAGACGCTACGTGTGGACGCGTATTTTTTCGTGGAGAAAAAACTCTCCGTTTTCAAAAATATCCCGATACGTGTGGACGGAGCCTAAGGCCCTTTCTACATATACACGGATCGGGATATTTTTCTCCGTTTTGGAAAAAATACGCGCCCACACGTAGCGTCTTCGAACCGTTTTCGCCCGTCCACACGAAAAAGCTGAACAATGGCAATACGATAAAATCCCTTACAGGGCATGCGCTGTATGATGTATGACATCATGTATTAATAATCTCGATTTTCGTCCGTCTACACTAAAACGATAATTGAGCTTTTCAAAAACCTTGTTTTTGGTTTCCGAAAACACCGTTTGCGTGTGGAAGGTAGGCTAAAACGGAGCAAAAAATCTCCGTTTTCGACAATATCCGGATACGTGTGAACGGGGCTTTAGTTATTCTGACAACTCACACACGTCAGTGGATTAAACGGCCATGAACATCTTAAAACGATCGTAAGGCCCATGGGCAAGGCTATTACCAGGTTCATATAATTTAGCCTCTGCATCTGGAAAATCCACGGACTGGTCTTTGTATGGCCGCAAGTTTCTTTTTATCAACTACAAGTTTTATGTCAATGCCGCTGTTTTTATCTGAAGATTTCTTTTCCAAGTTGTGACATTCCTTTGGTTAACTAGGGAAGCTCATAAATCATAAATGGGAAAATGCGATGACGGTGGACAAGTTGTCTTGGGGCTACAGACGCAATGCAGATATCATGGATTATTTGACGATCCAAGAACTGTTATATCAGCTTGTTTCAACAGTCAGGTAGAGGAATAGACATTGCCAACTAACAAAACTCACGAAACAAAAATTGCGGGAAACACTGTTTGAAATTTTCATTACCAGTTTTTTTTCTTCGCTCACCTTTTCATCAGTGCCTTCCCCTAACTTTCCCAATTCCTGCAAAGGTCATTTGTATCGGAACTACTGAACGCTGTCAAATTTGATATACGCTAAAGAAGTATTAGAAAGGAAGCGGTTACCGTTTGCCGCTTACGGGCCATTTTAAGGCTTTTCATCTGTGTGAAAATTTGCGTGGCGCAAAACCCTTTTATAGTGAAGGCGCGCGGTGCTGCGATCACGTTAAGTTGCAACGCTCAGCGTTGGTTCAGATTCGACTTTCTCAACCGCAATCTTTTTCTTAGACCAATAGAACTTTCACGGTAATCAGGGTTTGGGCTTGCAATTATGCTTGAAATAAAGAAGATACCTTCTTCGTATTTTGAGGTTTAAGTAAAAATAAAAATGATAATAATAAAACGTTTCTGTATTGCTGTTTTATGCAGTTGCGGTGGAAACCTATTGATGAATGTTGGCCCAACTGCAGATGGAAGAATCATTCCAGCATTCCAGGAACGACTGCTGCAGATGGGAGAATGGCTGTCTGTCAATGGTGAGGCTATTTATAGCACGAAGCCCTGGAGAGCTCAGAATGATACCATTAACAAAAACGTGTGGTGAGTTTAGAATATTTTACTATAGCAAAGATCGGTCCATTTAGGCCTTAAGGTTGAGCATAGAAAAACGTGCAATCTGTCTCGGAGTCCCGGAGGGTTCGTACAAAAGACGCAACTTGCACCGCGCACTGAAAACAAGCAACCTCTTCCTAGCGCGGGAGAGTGCGGGACAACTTCAAACGCTAAGCGTGAATACGAGTAGGAAACCCGAAGCGTGTGCGAAGCTAAGCGCGGGAAAATAAAGGGAAAAAATAGATCCTCTGTCAAACGGGGTCAAAAGCGCGGGAAGACGGGGAACCTCTGTCACTATTTTGCTGTTACTTATAGCGCGACTTTTGCTGGCACTTACAGTGCCACTTTAGTTTCCAAGTGGAAAGCACGCAGCTCTTTTGTGAAGGAAGCACTGAAACACGTGAAAAATATACAGACGGGTGCCAGGGGAGGTTTAACAGCAAGGAATACCTTCTCTATTTTTGTTCTCGAATACAGGCAGCGTCACTGAGAGCAGTGATAACATTTCCGTGCTGGTTTATAATGATCCGAGGAGATCAATACATGGTGACGATGATGTTAATGCTACTGAAAGCAAAGAGAAACCTAATACCCTTGAAATCGTCTTGGTGCGTTTATATCCCAAATTAAAGCAAATAAGTGTGACTAGCTACATGGCTGCAAAAGTCACGGTCTCAGTCTATTAACCCTTTCAACCCTGGGAATTTGGCCGAAAATCACGTTTTGAAGCTAGTGGGAGGGGACAGGGGGGTGACAACCTCCCGCTTCCCGTACCCCGTTCTCCCGCCTCCCGTACCTTTTTGTTCCTTTGTCTCCCGACTCCCGCCCTTTATTGTATTTTTCCCATCATCATGTAAATTAAAAAGATCAGAAGCCCAGGTTTAGTGTTAAAGCTGTAGGGTAATTTGCCAAAGATGAAAATTGTTACAAGTCAGTTTTCTTAGTTAAACTGAGTTTTCACTAACCTGGTTATCTAGGTTTGACCACCGCTTCTGACATCCCACTACAGCGACAATAGTGTCAGTCCACTGTGCAGTGCAATAGCTATTGCAGTTATCAAAGATGCATTAACATGCATTTAGGAATCCCGAAATTACAGGGATCATGCCAAAATGAAGTCGAAGGGCCAAACGTTACGGTAGAGTTCAGTACTCCTGTCTAGTTCCCAGCGTCTAATTGTACTAATTGCATATCCACCGCGGTTAGTTTTCGTTATTTTTCGTAAGTAGTCGTAAGCTATAAAAACTGACTTCAACGAGGCAATAATTGCATGTTCTTTAACCGTTTGCATTTTAAAACGTTCAGTTTAGTGCTGGTGGAGTATTATTGTTTGCTGGTTATCAAATCTCAAACCTATTCATATTTGCTCAAGAAGTTGTATCTTTCATCAAACATCGGCGGGGAGGTTTAACGGTTATACATACATTTTTACATCGGAATGATGCATCTATGTCCGATTTTAACAAAAAGCATTTGAAGAAACTAATGTTTTGCTGTTATTGGCTTATTACAAGTTAAATAACAGGACAGGGAACAGGTTGCAATATGTGTAAAAAGTGCCCGTATTTTGCTACAGTAAACAAACTAGAAAAAGTCTTCCATGCGCCGAGGAGGTCGCACTGATCTCCTCCTACTCCAAATGTTAGTTAGAGCAGTAAAGTCTGCCTCCTCTTCCTCCGAGTCGAGGGAACTTTCTAGATTTTCTTCATTTTCATTGGCTTCCAGATCACATTCGCCTCGACAGTCAGACAGAATCTTACAGAATGTTTCTTCATTTACTTCCAAACAGCTATCAAATAATCGCATTGCATCTTTGCTTATTTCGCAAATAATGTTACTCTTCTTGCATAGTGCTTCTTCGCCAGACGTTTGAAAGATAAAAGAACTTTCATCGATGATAACATAATAATAGTACCAACGATATCATTTGCGTCTATCTTGCTTGAAATAAAAACTGAAAAAAAGTTGGATTGCTTCTGATTGCATAAATTCCAGTATGTGGTGCCTGATGAGTGTTGAGATCGCTTTAATTTCCATTTCCAGGCTCGGTCACGGGCTCTTCGTCGCAGCTACTGCTATTCCCTGGAGGATTCGTTGGTTATCTGCTTCCTTTGCAGAACTGACAGCCTCAAATAGCTCTTGCATTGATGTTAGAGCTGGTTCTTCAGCATTTTTGTATGGCTCTTCCGACATGTACATGTAAAAGGGGAGAGTACCGGCTTTGTCTTTCGTGAAAGAATTTTGGACCGACTGTTGCCTAACCCCTCGTCCAAACTCATTTCTCCAATCGTTAAGACGTTTGATGTCCTCCTTATTCAGGAACGTAGTTGGTTCTTGTGGCACTAGGAGCAAATCTTCATACTTAATTGAAAAGTGTGATGGTAACTCGTAGTGCTGTTTCTCCCGAGTAAAGCAAATATATCCAGGCCAGGCAATTCTCTTTAAGGTCTCATCCGCAGCCTCCACGAAGTCCATCGCACAATCTAGCACGGTGGGTGTGTCTGTTACTTGTCACAATTCGCTGTTCAAATACTCATTGACAAGTGTGAGGAATGTTCTTACATCGGCAACTTCGAGTAGATGTGCACATTCTTCACTAAATCGGGTCCGAAGGCGATGAAGGAAGTTTTTCCAATTTCACCGGAAGTAATGCTCTTTTTTCTATCCCGAGTGCGAATTTACGTTTTTTGACTTTTCTCGCATTAAAATTTTGATTTAGGGCCTGGGAGAACGTGAAATGGAAGTCAAGAAACGTTGTTGGGTTCGTTTCTTTGACTGGATGATGAGCAGTAACAATTAACGAAAGCTTGCATTTTGGAATTTCTCTCCCGCTTCCCGTCATCATAGAGATCCCGCTTCCCGCCCTTTCTTCTCCCGTCTCCCGTACCCCTCCCGCCCCCTGTTCTCCCGGGCTCCCGCCCCCCTGTCCCCCTCCACAAGCTAGTAGAGCCGTTTTCTGGTCTCTTTCCCCATTTTTTCTTTTGCTGAACATATAGTAGGCTTCATTTCATTGTGAAAAGTTTTTGGGAAAGTTTTTAGGATCTTAAGATTAGATGAACGGAAAGGTAGGTGGGTAGTTGAACAAGATTTTCATGGGAATTGTCGGTTGAAAGTTACATTTTTTTTGTCTTATTCTCCAACCTCCTTGCCCGAATCATGCTCATTCTGGCATGCTTTGAAAGATCTCTTCACCCTGCACAAGTTAGCTGACAAAGTTGTCCTTGCCCGTTAAAACGGATGACGTCACAAGTGCTGGAAGGGACGTAGATCCGCACGGGCGGGTCCTGGGCGAATGGGTTAAGTTATAAGTGGATTCGTTTTTCTTGATCCTTTGTTCCAGATTTAGCTTCAGCTGTTTGCAGATCTGTTCTTTTTTTCTCAGGTACACGTCAAAACCTGATGCAGTGTACGCTATTGCTCTTGAGTGGCCTTCAGATGAACTTACCCTCGGAGCTCCAATCAGCACCAGTGGAACTCAAGTTACCATGCTGGGTTATGAAGGGGAGTTTCACTGGAAACCAGCGACTGACAAAGGCGGAATTATCATCTCTGTTCCTTGTATTCCAGCAAATCAACTTAAGTCCAGATGGGCCTGGGTTTTTAAGCTTGTAAACGTTCGTTAAAGCCACAACTTGGATGAAAAATGCCTGGATTAAAAGAAACTGAGAACCTTTGTGGACCGACACAATATAAACAGTAAAATTTTCGTACTGATTTTCTAGATACGCAAATGATTTTTGAATAAAGGTGTATATTGGCTTCTTTTCGGTCGTCTTGTAATTTTGTAGTAGTAAAGAAGGGAATGGCTTAGCCGTCTTTTTGTCGGGGTTGTCATAATTGTTTTGAAAGTGCATAATATTATTGTTAAAACGTGATTTGGAAATAGAGAAAGAAAGGTGGAAAATTATGTCCCAGCTTACACTTCATATATAGCCATTAACAGTTATCACTGAAGAGGAGCATGAGGATTCATTACAACTTCAAAAATCCCAAAAATCCTGAGTACTCTATATTTCTCCCAACAGGAGATCCTCATGTTGATGCAGTACGAGCCGATCGTACAAGATGAAGGGTTCTCGTAGTTTTAACAAACTCATTACAAGAATTCCCATGGCTGTGACTTTTTTTGAAGTGGCCTCATAAAAATTGGCCTGTTCACAGGTTCTTTGGTAGGGGCAGAGTTCGTGCTACTCCTTGAAGTAAATAAAAGCCCTTTTAAAAAGAGGAATTGAATTCGCTTTTGATGATGAAAATGCTCAAAACTCCTTGAAATTTTTGCTTGGATGGGAAAAAGTATAGCGATCAAAGTAGTTCAAAGATCAGGCGCGAATAGAGAGGAGAAATCGTTACATTACACTGCCGAAGTAGCACAGTTTCTAGATCTTAACAAACCGCGGTCCAACAAATATGGCAGAAAAAATTGTCATGTCAGGGGCACCCAACGACAATTTTCGGAAAAAAAATTTTCTTACGTAAACACACACTCTATTGTCGATGCCTTTGTTGTGCGCCTACTACGCGGGTTATAAATACGGAGGCATTTCATTTAAGCGTGGTGAGAAGCACATCAGCGTGGTTGACTAGTTAATGCAGACACGTTCTAATTCGTTCCTTCAGGCTTGATATGTTGTTAACGAGGAGGACTGGAGACTAGGGTCGGATGGGGGAGGATGGGAGGATAGGACTTGTAGTGCGTTCTCATCATGTCCGTACCGAGTGAAATATGAGAATGATACTGAAGTCGGTCGGTTAATGAGTCGTACAATGAGTTGTACTCGTTAGAGCGGAGGTTTCCTCAAGAGCAGTCTTCAGCTTTGTCGTTTTAAAGTACGGTGAGCAAAAACACTAGGCTTGGGTGGACAATAAGCCATTTGCAGCTAGTCATTCGCGTGGTGCAAAGCGCCATGTTTGAGACCAAGGGATGCACTAGGGACAAGACAAACAATTTCTCCCAGTGCGTCCCTTACGTTTTCTACCACGTGATTGACTAGCCACAAAGACTCAACGGCAACTATACTATAATATAGGGAGGGGGGTGAGCATGGGGGGTGGAGGGTCACTCTCTTTCGGGCGCCGAATTGAGCTTAGGAGACCCCACTGTAACCTGGAGCTACAGTACGTTCGAGATAGCTTCGAATTAGACCGGGTATCTATGCCTCGTTCACGCTTTTTAATAGCAATCTTAATATTTCTGGTCTGCTGTTTGTCCTGAAAATCGTAACTTTTGGTTGAAAACTCAAACCGTACAACTCTTCGGGTGAAAGATCAGAAAGATGAGAATGGTTACACGCACTATCTTACTCTTTTTCATTCCAACCGAATTGACCTGAAAATACCTGAATCAGTGGTCAATTAGAGAAGAACGTACACTAACAATTTTGTAAAACTTAGCCCATTTAATTCACTGTTATTGATGCAGACGTGGAACAAATGGTATAAGATTCTTCATATTTCCTCTCTATATCCTTTTCTTTAATGTCCTACAGTACGTGCTTGACAACCGTTTTAGTTTCAGTTAATTAACTATGTAAGAATCGTTCATGAAACCTTCCTTAAGTGTTAAAAAAGTCACCTCATCGGCTAGATCAGTGACAACAGGCCAAATCCCTCATAAATTCTAGCGTTAATCCTCTTTCCCGGAAACAAGGTTGTGGTAGTTTTTGAATCGACGCAACTTTGCTTGGCTACTTGACATTTTCTAGTTTGAGAGCCCACGCCCATTGACAAGGAAGCTTGCTCACAGGGATACTAGGGAAAGTTACAATAATTCCGCCTTTGTCAGTAGCTGGTTTCCAGTTAAACTCCCCTTCGTAACCCAGCATAGTAACTTGAGTTCCACTGGCGCTGATTGGAGCTCCGAGGGTAAGTTCATCAGTTAAAGGCCACTCGAGAAGAACTGCGTACACTGCATCAAGTTTAGAAGTGTACCTAACAGAAAAAACAGTAAAGGAGAATTGCAAATCGACAACGTTTTAAAAAGAACGACAAGCAAAGCCATTGGTCGTATGTAATTATTAAAACGTACATTACTTATAAAAACGATGGTTGCAGTCACTCGTGGAGGTTTTCCATGATCGTGATCATTACATTCATACCCATTCACAGGCCGCCCAAATATATGTTACGAGGAAAGTTTTTAATACAATTTACATTCTCAAGTGTTAATTAGGTGGAACGCCAAAGTAAACGGGTGGCTCTCGAAACGAAAGGCAGAAATCTAATTTACACACTGAAAGTGTTAAGAAATTTAAATGAAAGTTTGACAGAAACCAGAAACAGTGGACTTATCGCGCTATTTGACAAAAAAAATTTTTATCCAAAATGCTAACTTGAGATACTGATTAAGAATATACTCCAGAGAACTCTTTTGTCTTATTCCGTGCGTATGTACGTATGGCCTACGCTAACAAATGGGCAAATTTCCCCGAGACCTTCGTCTTCATTGGGAAAACAAAACATAAAAGTTTAAGAGGTCTATTACATAAGTGTAAATTCAGGAAAAATGCCTACCTACCCCTTCCCTAAGCCAAAGTTGAATATAACCCCTACTTGGGGCAAAATGTTATTTTAAGGGAAGGGTAGGTGGGCAGTTTCCCCAAAATATTATGCTGATGTAGAATCTTATTGCATTTACCACACATGTTGGTTGATGGTATCATTCTGAGCTCTCCAGGGCTTGGTGCTATAAATAGCTTCACCATTGACAGACAGCCATTCTCCCATCTGCAGCAGTCGCTGTTGGAATATTGGCACAATTCTGCCATCTGCTGTTGGTCCAACATTCATGAGCATATTTCCACCACAGCTATATAAAATGGACACCACTTCAGTTAAAACTTGAACTTGCTCCATATTATGGAAATGAGCACAACAAAAATCAACATTAAGGGATTACCTTTTTTGGCAGATTATTATATGTTTATTCGATAATTTTCACCATGGCTGAACAGTGTAATAGATTTTTCTCTGACAAGGAGTTAAAAGGTAGAAACTGGAAAACCTGGCCATGAATTAAACTTGCATTCCCAGGGCTCTTGTCTACCTCGGAACGAGGTGGCCATGAGCTAAAATTACTTAGCATTTATTTCGAAAATTATTCTTAAAATGTCAATTAAAGACAACTCTATAGTAACTGTAATGTTTGCTAACCTTACGGTGGAAACCAGTTGGTATAACAGTTCCTTCATGTCTAAAACATCCTCAAAAATCATGTTCCGCCTGAAGCCCCATGAATATCTGTCGACAGTCATGGCATTTTCCCATTTGTGCTTTTGTAGTGTTCCTGTAAAATGTTGTGAACTGTCAATCTTTGGTACCACAGGAAATGTTTGAAAAACAGTGTGGTGTCTGGGACTATGCCAAATTTGGAAAGAGATGGTTTAAAAATATAACCTGGTAATGTAAGCTATAGTAGCTTAAAAAATACATAGCTCAATAGTTTACCTGGATTATATCTATCTGTGCAAGTGAAAGTGCCTCCATGATGACATTTACAACCATTGTCACACCAACGATCATTTGTCACAATGGTGTCTTTAACAGGACTATTAAAACAAGAGTATAAACAATATTCAATTCTCCACCTAACCTGCACCACAGACAGAACTAACTTCTGGTTACTGAAACCCTTGTTCAGGGCTGACCCACCAGTGTATCAGGATTTGATTGCATGCTATCATTGGCCTTTTAAAAAAGCCACTGTCAATTCACCAATCAGGTTGAAGCAAATTTCAAAACGCATTTCTGGTAATTCATTGAGTCTGTTTGGGGCCCAGAACAAGGATATATGTGCTGCATCGCAGATGTTACTAATCCGGGTTAGGTAACATCTGGGACATCTGACGCAGGCCAAACTCCACTGAGACCCTGACAGAAAACTTACCTAGTTACAAAATTGCTGTCCTTGATCCCCTTGCTGTAATCCTGCTTTATACCCACACATAAAAAGACTGCCAATTTTAGCAATGAGGAATACAGTATGCACTATTCTTGTTTGATCCATATCAAAGTCAATTGATAGCTGTCAAAAGGAAATATCTGCTGACCTTTTTAACATAACCAGGTGGGCTCAGGAGCACTAGCTACCCTTTGAGACGCCAGTGTTTTTTAAAACTTATCCTTTGACAAGTTGATAATTTTTCACTGGATTATGGTCTTGAGGCTTATGTCTTTCTTGTGTCCGAGGTTTTTTAATTGAATGGCTTGTGTGAAACTCAGAAAACTGTGTACTTGTGATCACCAAAATTCTTCTGGATGGTTATTTGTTACAAAAGTTGGGAAAAATAGCCAATCAGGCATGAGAAAGCTAAGCAGGCTAAGTGACAATGGTCATTAGGTTGTGAAGGTTTTGTGGCTTGCTCGCCTTTCCAGATCTTTGTTGTGATTGGTCACAACACAATAGTCATTTCTGAAATACCTCAGTTGTTACTTGTTTTCTGAATTTGACTTAACTCAGGGCCATTTTTTCACACAAGCTTTACTATACATTACACTCTTAAAAAATTACACATTAACACTATTTTCAGGCTACCTTTCATTGTACAGCCATGCTAAGAACTCCTGGCTACCCCAGTAAGTATCAGGTCCATGTGGTCCATCGGCATATAGATACTCAGGCTTGTATGTATTGATCAAGTCATACAGCTCTGGTTTCAACACATTCTGGTATTTATATGATGCAATATCAGAAACTCATAAGGGGTTGTTCAACCCCTTATGAGTTTCTGGTAATAATAGTTGATATATGATATAATGTGAGCATCACAAAACAGTAAATGCATTACTGTCATAGCTATGATACAAGTAAGTACTCAACAAATTTAAAAAGTTTTATACGGGGAGGCTCCACCCTACGGTCTAACCCCTATAATAGTACCCTCTTACCAGTGGCGAATCCAGACCTTCAGATAACGGGGGGGTCATCCAGACCCTGAGTTAAGGGGGGGCAGTGTCTGAAAAAATTTTTTTCGGCCCTTCTTGCCTTATTTTGTTCGAAAAATAAGGGGCGGAGGCTGGGGTGGGGCCCCTGGATCCGCCACTGCTCTTACATACCATTTTTGACAAAAAAGGTACCCCTTTGAGTTTCATATATATGTACATTCTATTGACAAATGGTATCCCTTTCACGTACCCAATTTACAAACTTCGCATCCCTGTTAACTGCTGTAAATTAATACACTGTCTTTGAAATATGAATAAATCACAAAACCAAAACGTTTTCTCGACTTTTTCAAAGCATAAAATGCATCTGCTAGCCCTTTTGGGCCTTTTTACAAACTAAAATGACAGATTTCCCTCCCCTTTCATATACTTCAATTAGAGAAATCCCTACCCTTCCATATACCAGAAGCCTGAAAAAAGGTACCCCTTTTGGGCGGAGCCTTCTGTTATAGGGCATTATAGGGAGTGCCCTCCCACCTGGGTTCTGATGCTGTTATGCTATATATTGTCACGTCGCAGGAAGAACACGTTGTAACATGGTTTAAAATTCCAAAAGTAAGTCCAGCAAGCATATACTTGAAAGCACCATCAATTTAAGTAGTTTATACTTAGAGGAGGCACATTATGCAGAGGGTATTTATAACGGAGGGCAATAACATATTCACATTTGTATTTGGAGGGGCTCATTTTTGAAATTTTATAGTAATTTTTTCTCATGATAAAAAAATATTTTAAACTGTTATACTAATTAATAATAAAAATTTTATAGATACATCAAACAGTTTGATTTTATGTCTCTCACCTTAACATAATCCTGTGTTGAAAAATTGTTTGCAACATCTTTCATGTAAAATGGATGAAACCATTCATACAATGAATGGTACAAGCCAAGAGTCATATTGGTGTTTTTCCTAATCGCTCTGGAAAATTCTGCTGAAAGGATGAAGGGGCATCAGTATTGCACAAGTGCTCCATGAAACTTGTAAATAATATCTATATTTCTGGCAGACTAAAAATGCTGTATTACTGACCAGTTCATACAGCAGGCCTTCAGATATAAGCTTTGACGTCATATAAATCTGACGTGTAATTAACCAAAATCACTTAATGTAGTTATTGCAGTTATCTGTGAATCATTCTCACACATTTGAAACTGTCTTTTCAACTATATTACAAGGAGGAAGTTGACCTTTTTTCATAAGAAAGTATTTTCTTTTTGGTAATATATGATGATGGTAGCTATTAAGTATAAACCGCTCCTCATCCAATCACCCATACAACATCCTAAAACATTTGCCACAGTGCTGGAAAAATTGTGATTTTATAAAAGTATTTGCTTACCTACAAGATCCCTGTGGGGTCCACTGTCAACAGAGTTCCAGTTCCATGAGACATTAGACCTCCAGTTTGTCCAACCTTCATGATGTTTACTGGTCAGTACTGCATACCTGACACAATTTATAAGGAAATAATTATATACCATTTATAAATATAGCCTCTAGATTAAGAAAAATAGTGACACTGTGATAGTGAATTGATGATACACAGCGTGCAAAGAAAGTCGTGTCCGATAGCCCGGGGCTAGTGGATTTTGCAATCAGGCCCGTGAATTCTGTTCTTAACTTGTCCAGAGGGCAAGTGAAGTTTTTTTGGGAAATTCAAATGACAGAAGAAGCATAATCAAAGCTGCTCATCCAAAATTTTTTGGGGCTACTTAAAGGACTCTTGGTGTAGTACATACTAGCAACAACTTGCCCGAATGGCAAGCCATAAAACTGACTTTCTTTGCACCCTGGATACATGTTTCATCACTTGTTCAACCTAGCCATTTTTAACCAGGGCTGTAGTATTTAAGTATGACTTTTCTGAAGAAATAAGCTTACTTTATGAAAAACTGACTGTCTCAGGGCCACCTTAGCTTGCTTACACCTTTGGCAATCATAAACTTTGGCCCTGAGTGAACTTATTTAAGCTTATAAATCTTATAACTGTTCCAAATAGCACAGTCTTTCAAATTGCACAAAGCCAATTACCTTGCTCCAGACTTTGAAAGCAGCTCCGCCCAAAATTCAGCATAAAAAATTCAGCTTGAAACATTGGTGCAAAGTCAGCATATTCAAAATTTGGTGGGTAGTTCTTTTTCATGAATTCCACGTATTCAGGTCGTTGCTGTCCTTTCCAGTGGTACCAGAACCATTCTGATCCAAAACTTGGTACTGAATATACCCCCCAGTGGATAAAAATACCAAACTTGGCTTCATCGTACCATGAAGGGAGGGGCCTCGAGTCTAGCGATTCCCATGTTGGCTTGTACTGAGCATATCCACAACATACAGAGGCGAAAATAATGCTCATTGATAACCAGAGAGTCATTTTAGCTGAAAGTCGTTCAATAATTTAGGTGTCCCCAATGACTGATCTAGTCGCGACGGTGACTCGTCTGACAGCTTCGTGGAGCGACGATCCACCTTTTAATTTAAAATGAAACGATTGCTGAGTACACAGCCTTCTAAATTGTCACCAGCAGCAAAAGAGATTAAGCCCAAAATGTAATAATGTAGGTAAATTAACGTATGTACTCCCAAACACGTAAAAATAACTAAGAAAGATGACTTACAGAGAGCGGAGAGCTAGCAAACGATTTGATTGCTCTGCAAGACTCGACTCCTCAGCTGGACTGGAGATATTTCGTAACTGAATTGTGAATTTACGTGAACCCGACATCTGAACAGAAGGGGGTCAACTAGTTCTTTCATGTAAAAGAATTTGCCCAATTATTAATAGGTGTACTTAAAAAAATCATTCAATTAATGATCGCACCCGTCGATTACCAGTGTTTTCTCTGGTTCTCGGCCCAGTGCTTCTCCTTCCAAAAAAACAAAGGCGCGAAATGCGCGCGAGTCCACGCAAACCAAAATTCCCCTTCTTTCACTTTGTTTTCATTCAGTTTTCGTGTTTCTCTTCGTTTTTCAACTGAAAGAGCTACAACGCGTGGGTCTGACACAAGGTCGAAAACGTTGATCTGTACTTGTCAATCAAAGTGTGAATGAAAGTGAGATGGCAGAACACTAGCTACTGCATCCAACTTTTGAAAGCAGTAAAAGCCAGGTGAGTAAAGCCTTTCTCTGAAAACAGAAAACAATAGCAAATCGAAACCAACTTTTCAAGTTATTCGAAGAATTATTGCCCACGAAAAGATCTTCGCATCTGAACAAGAATCGCAAGTCATTCGGCTACAGGTACACTCTCGCTGCGCCATTTCTTGAATTCGCTTTGTATTGAAAGCAGCATTCAGAACAAGCAAACTTAGTACAGTTTCTAAGTTAATGAATGAGTCTGCAGTTTTACGTTTTACCGAAGATTCGTTAAGGACTAAATTACTGCTCACAGTTCTAAGCCCAAGCTTTGAGATCTTTAAGAAAATTGAATTAAGCTTATCTGTTGCGGTGAACTAGTTGCGCCTCTTTGTAAGCTTACATGTGTTGTACGATTCATGTCAGATCTGTTAAAAAGCAATACAAACATACATGAATTGGCCGAATTCCGTTATATAATTGTTTTAATTTAACAGTTCGAAACGTGTTTGAATAAATTAAATAGAAACACGCCGAAGCTTATTTCAAAAATCGGGACTCCAGGGCTATAAAATGGCTTACTCGATCTGCAAGAAGGTTTGAAGGAGATCGCAAACTGTGAATTATATAAACCTGTGTTGTATGCTTGACGAAATTTACAACAATTAGTTTTTCTTATTACTATACAATTTTTAAGAGCTAGAAACGTTAACCCTGCGTCAATGAACTCAAACCATTCCGGTGTGTAAGTTAAATCTCAAAACGGCGGAAAATTATTCAACTTGCGCTTGCAATATGAATCTTGTTTAGAGCAACAGTCTTTTTTGAAAACATTAAATTCAAATGACGTTGGGCTATTCTGGAATTATAAACATTGTATAGCTCTGATGAGTCACAAATGTAAGCTTAATTATGTGAACAAAATTCAGTGTCAAGGGCGGTCGGCAAGTCAAAGCATTCAGACATTTTTTCTTTAGAAGTTTTCAGTTTGATCCAAAGGTGAACTGGGAAAACAACAAAGCTGTGAACACGCTGCAAATGTATTTGTGTTTAGTGCTCAAAAATTTTCCTTAACTCATTGTCTTCAGGGGTCGCCGTGTTTCTGCGATTGTTTTCGCTATTATCTTAATATTCGTTGAAGGGACTGTTTTTATACTTTGTTGTGGTAAAATTCAAAGTTTGAGGAAGTTGTTGAGATCCGAAAAAAGTCTAAGACAACAATGTTAATAGTTGAATAGATTAATTAGTCCTAGCCGATAGCTGAATAAGAAATTACGCAATCAAGTTCATTTTTGGAAGATACATGTGTAAACCTGTACTTCTTTAGAAAATTTTAATATTTCCATACTGACCCGGAGTAGTGATCCTCTGCAAGGATACCTGCGGACGTCGATTTCGTCGCGCCTTTTCCATCAAATTGCCGGGTTTTTCATAAGAAATCCATCGCATTTCAAGAATTCTCTAAAATACCTATATAATTTGGTTTTTCTTTCTTCATATGATATTTCATTTGTAATTTCATTCATTTCTTGATCAAGATAAAAAAGCGAAACGTCTCCTTTTAAAAATTCTCATGTCAAGAAGTTTTAATGCGCTTAAAGTGAATTAAACTCTGAAATAGGGACTTGGCAAACTAGTTGTTGTTATATTTCTGTTGCGCTACTTTTTTGTGTCTGACTTGAAAGCACGCAAAAAGAAAAAAATTACAGGCACGCAAGGTGCGTACACGCAAAATCGCGTGCATGAAAGTTGTGAACTGAAGGTAATTTTCCTAAATTAAAAAAAAAATCAAATTTGTAAAAAAGAAGTACGCAGGATATTGGGCGGATGAAATAAATTGTAGGAAAAGCTGTACCTCTTCAAGTAGCAATGCAATGACATTGCAGTAAGGATTTTTTCATGCAAGTCTTGAAAAATTTGAAGCTATTCGTCACGTTAACAGCCTCGTGTTGTTTGTTATCTTTATACTCGCCACTTTAAACATTCAGTTTCAGTTGACGAGGACTTATTTGTTCCAAAATGCCGACAATATATGTCCACATTCCTCTGCGTGTTGGTTAAAACGTTTTGTTTGTACTGAATATAATTGAGGTCTAGTCCGGCAAAAAAAAAATGTACATTAGAAAGAGAGAAAATGGTACTGTTCCCAACATAGCCTGACCGTGAATCTTAAGTCGAAAATTACATTTCTTAAGTCGAAGTCTTTCGTCTTTGGTCAAAAAAGCTGTCAATTTTAAAAAGTTTGGCCTCATTGTTTTGAAATGGTGTTGCCAGAAGTCAGGTTTAGGGGCTTTTGTGAGGTTTTTCAAATCGTTGATGCGTTAATTACTAAAGTTCGAGGAATGCTGGACGGAAACTGAAAGACCACAGCGTGCAAAGAAAGCAGTGTCCGATAGCCCGGGGCTAGTGGATTTTGCTATTGGGCTAGTGAATTCTGTTATTAGAGAGTTTTAGATCCGAGTTTACCGCAAACCTCTAACCGCGGTTTGCGGTTACCCGTCTGCGGTTCGACGGTCAAACAAAATTCGATTTAGATTGGCGGTGGATTAAATTAAGGCCGCCATTTTGAATCAGCAGCCATGAATGACACTTGTTTTCAAGATCCAATAGGATTTATAAAATTTAGCATTTCGCCCGAATTTGTGCCTCTGTTAATGGATAAAGACTTGCTCCACAAGATTTTTGTATCATTACGTGGGATGAAACAAGAATTATACGCTAAAAGTGTTCAGGTAAATGACATACGTGAAAACCTATCTCCCCACGTTGAAAACGCACGTCGTAAACCTCAAACGTGAAGCGAAAGACTTGTCACGTGACCTCCAGCGGTTAGAGGTTCGCGGTAAACTCGGTAAACTCGGATCTAAAACTCTCTATTAACTTGCCCGACGGGCAAGTGAAGTTTTCTGAGGAATTCAAATTACAGAAGAACTGTGGAATCAATCTGCCCATCAAAACGTGTTTGGGGCTAGTTGAAATGATGTTTTCGCTAGTAAATGTTAGTTTCAGCTTGCCCAAATGGCAAGCTTTAAAAATGACTTACTTTGCACCCTGGACCAAGACCCATCGTTTTCCGCGTGTACTATTTTTACTAAGGCCATGTCCACACGTATCCGGAAATTTTTTTTCTGCAAATATTTTTTGGGGATGCGAAAATTTTCGCGTCCACACGCAGCGTATTCGAATCGTTTTCAGCCGTCCACACGTATCCGATTGTATTCTGATTTGCTCTAGTGCCCAGTTGTTTTACCGGAGAGAATCTTGAAATGAGCATGCGCATAATTGCGATTTAGGCGTCATTTCTTTCGCGCCATAGCTAAACAGTCGAAGCTTGTAGTTTATCACTCGAAAAAATGTCTAAATCTACTGAAAAAGTCAAGAAAAAGTATGCTGATACATATAAATGGACCAATGATGAAGTTGAACTACTGCTGACGGTCACGAAAGAATACAAAACGAAGCAAATCGCCAAAAGCATCGACGGGGAATCTTGTGTTGACAAGTATGGCGAGATTCTCGAAGCGTACAGTGCTCATTATCCCTCGCCAGAAGATGCTGCTGCTATTGGCAAAGATCTTCCACACAAGAAGGATGAGTTAAGGTCGCGTCCAGAATCGCCTTCGGTGATGGTTCGCTCTTTTTTTGACTTTATGATGCCCACTGTTCACTGATAACAATCTCAAAACATCCTGTCGATCTCTAATGTATTGGTTGTGTAAATTTATCACAGCTGCATTTATCTGAACGCATGATATAAAACTAGAAATCAGAGCAACTAACAAAGAAGCTACAATCTTGCTGTACGCCATTTTTGTTTATAATGCTCGCCGTGAAGACTGGATCCAAGAGAATGACGAAAGCGTATTCGCAAATTTCCGGATGAGACCGTCCACACGTATAGGTATTCGTATCGGATAAAAAAATTTCCACTCTGGAGAGCTTTTTCAAAAATTTCCGGATGCGGCAGGAAAATACGCTGGATACGTGTGGACGCAAGCCGTATTCGTAAAAAAAATTGCGTTTTCACAAATTTCCGGATACGTGTGGACGATGCCTTAGAAAGTTCGCTTAAAATTTCCAGTGGTATAATGTACCTATCAATGTAAATCCCGTGGGGGGGGGGCGGGCAGGGGGGGATTTGATGCCTGAGACTATCCCCGCTGTCGGGCTTTTGATCGTGCGAAGCGACCCCGGGGTCGGGACATTTGACGTTGACCGACAGAAGCCTAGTATCAATTCAGAAGCGGTTACCAAGTCCGTCCCTCCAGGCTTCTGAAAGTCATGCTGTCGGAGAAAGGTACGAAGTTTTCATTTGTTTTAATCGCCATAATCCGATACTTTGAACTGTCATCTAAACAGATAATGTCCATTTTGAGAAAGTTTTTATCTTCAAGTTACCATCTGATTGTAAAACTCGATTGAAATCGAATTCCACAATGAAAATCAGAGGATTTTTTGACATGTTGAGCAGATGTTATAAAGCATTTTACGTATCATTAATATTATAATACTACGGTCAATCTTCCTGGAGTGATTTTGTTGTTCAAAATAAGAGATGCTAGTGGAGAGAGAAAATACTTAATTACAGCGAGTAATTTAACGGAGCTTACGTTAACCTTAAATAAAAGTAGTAAGAACGTTCTTTTGAAATATTCCTTTAATTCTTTTTATATAGTGTTATAGTATCGTTTGTTTAGATTTTTTCCCCTGGGGTGGGGGCTTTTTTGACAATTTTGATTGACCTTTCGTATCCCACCCTGGGGAATTTGATCAAAAAATTTGTCAAATCCCACCCCTTGCCCGCACTCCCCCTCCACGGGGTGGATAGGTGCATAAAGGCTAGCTTTTCACGCGATTAGGCCATCCTCTTTTTTTTCTCTGTGTAGCGTCGTCCGACCGAACCAAATTTTTGGCATTTTCAAAAAAAAAAAAACACGTGGCGACGTAGTTAAGCCATTTTTCACTAGAAATAATTCACTTAATCTGAAAAATGAGCATAGTAATAGCATAGAGAAAAACAGTAACAAAAACAGGAACATTTTTTACAGTATATTGCCCATTTTGTTAATCCAAATATGTGAGTGTTAACTTTTAACGTCATCCTGAGATATCAGGGCCTCCTTTTCCAATTTCTTGAGATTTTTTTTGTTCTAGGTTTTTTTTCAATCCGACCGACCGACCGACCCAATATCAGGAAACGCATTCGAAGCTAAACGAAAGGAAAAAAAAGACGGAATGGCCTTATCATCGTATCCTTTTTCTCAAGCATGGAAGAAAAGAAAACACAGAAAAGGCTACAATTTGTTCATTGCTTTCTAATCTATTTTTATATTTGCACTTAACGCAGAAATTTCTACAAGACAGAAAGATCCGTGAGTTATTGCAAAGCATCATGGAAAAATTCCCTCTTGGTCCCTTGTGGTATGATTTATCCACAACCATAGCTGAAGCTGCCAGTACAGCGAGTTTAAATGCTGCTAATTCGACGTCTCTAGTAAACAACTTACTAAATGGGCGCAATATTTGGGACTCCCCGCTTCCGCTTCACAAAAGATCGTCACTGTCAAAAGCTGAAGATAATTGCGTTATGGTTTGGTCTAAGGATGCCTTACAGTCAATGCCTTGCAGTCAGCCTGTTACGCATCGTGTACCAAATATTCTCCCTCCCTTTGAAAGTCTCACAAGTAAGATGAGAGTTCCGCGTTACGTGTTTCACCCAAACGAAGCGCTGTGTGGAGTGCAGACGTTTGAAATATGCAGGGGACCAACGTTACCTTGGAATATGAATATTTTTCCATTTACGCTGCCCAAGGCTACACCATTGGTCTACAGCTTTCAAGACGCGCCTCAAATAGGTGCAGGATCAGCTGGTCACCAGGCTTCTTCCATTCCGTTTGTTCCCGGGGTAACAGTTCCACAGTACCCGGATGCACAATACATGTTTCGCGAGGCAAATCTTTTCATGGTACCTAAACAAGAGTCGTACAAAGCGACAAGCCCTTTCTTAGAAGAAACACCCCCCAAACGGAATAATCTTCCCAAGGCTACTACTAACCAAACGTCCAATGACCAAACTGACGCCAAGAAAGAGACAGCCTGTAAGCTTGAACCAAAGAATAAAGCTATTAAATCGTATCAGTGTCGTTTCTGCTCTAAAACATACACTCGCCATTCAGCCCTCATAATCCACATGAGGATTCATACTGGCGAAAGGCCATACTCGTGCAGCGTTTGTGAGAGAACGTTTAGACAAGCAGGGGGCCTGGAGTCGCACATGCGCTCTCATACGGGAGAAAAACCATACCAGTGTGATATTTGTGATCGTCGCTTTTCACATTCCAACGCAGCGAAAAACCATAGACGAACGCATACGGGGGAAAAGCCATACCAATGTAAATACAAAGGATGCGTTCAACGCTTTGCAGACCAGTCAACTCTCAAGAAGCACCTCAGAATCCACACCGGCGAGAAGCCATTTCAATGTCCTCACTGTTGGAGAAAATTTACCCAGCTCGGAAACAGGAACAAGCATATTCATTGCAGACACAGCCAAGTAAAGCAAAAGTAGATTTTATTTTTAACATCCCGCCCTGCCCTTTTCCTGAGGGTTAACCCTTTCTCACCCAGACCGCATAACAGTTGATCTATATGGTCAGTTATATTATGATTAGTTAGAGGCTCCAAAAACGTGGCGGGAGTAAACGCTAGCCAGCGGGCAAGCTCTCTATTTCGAGCGGCCAGCAAAACGATCGTGCGTGAATGAGAGATCACGCGGCAATCCCGAGATGAGAGAAGGAAAGGAGAATCTCTCCATTTCACTCTTACGCCTCTTTTCGTTTGGCGCTCGTGCGTTTGAAAACGCATACACTTCGATGCGTTTAGGCCTTCCGTCCAGACTAATACGATGAGCGTTTTCGTTGTAAACGCATCGATTTGAAAACGCTCTTGAAAGTGGATCAAAACGAAAACGCATTCATATCGCGATCGTATTTGTGTGGATGGTCGAATACGCATCAAAATGAAAACGATGACCAAAATATCGCAGGCGCATGTGTTTGTAGCATGCGCATGGAGTTCAACTGACGTCACAACATGTAATTTTATCGTTTTCGAACGTTTTAGTGTGGGCAGTCAAAAACGCATCAAAACGGTAGTGTGGACGAGAATCGATCGACGCGTTTTTTATGACAACGGAAAACGCATACTTTTGAAAACGTGTTTGTGTGCCGACATGGCTTAAGTATCTCTACAACTCTCAAATGGAAAGCTTGCTCGCAGGGCTAGCTCTCTATGGTTTTTTCACTGCTGGCTCCAGACGTTACCTTTAATCAACATTTAAAATGCCGCTTTTGTGTGATCTATTTAATTAACTCTCATAGTCAACTACAGAAAAAATGGATGTTATCCAACTTTAACTTCTGTGAACAAACTGTCTTTGGTACAATCATTCAAATGAAACCAATCCAGCGGTACTTTCACATATACTGTTTCTTTTTTCGAAATGCAAGACGTTTAATTGTTTAAATAATGCATAGCCACAGTTCAGTGCGCAAGACATATTAATATATGCCAAACCTCACAAAAAATCGTATACATCATTTCTCAAAGCTAAAAAGGGAAAAAAAATTCGAACTGGGTTTTTGAGGTAATCTCAGAACGGAAATCAATTCTTAAAATAAAAAACTGTTTTTTTTTTAAAGAGATTATGTCAGTGCTTTACCAGATTATCTAAAAAACCCCGTTCGAATTTTTAATTTAAAAAAAATACAGTAAAAAAAAAACCTTTTTTTATTGTAAGAAATATACCGTTTTGCTCTTGTCAAGAAAATGTTACTACATTAAGGGAATGTAATTCAAATCTCCGCTCACAAAATTAGCTGTTCAATACTACGTCCATTCTTGTTGAACAGGGAAAATGGCCGCGGTAAAAAAGTTATTATAGTCTGAGAAAACAAGCAAAATTTCGCAATGTCACCACTGGTTTCGCCGCGAAATTACCTCATCTGAGAAACGAGCGCAAAAATCATTTTTTGAAATTGGCTTCAGTCAATCAGAAGCACTACCCAGATCAGTGTGGCAATTTTGAGCTCGGTCAATATCAATTTGCAGGAAACTAGTGTTGGCGTCGCGAAGCGTCAGCTGTTTTCTCAATGTTATAGCAGAGGCTAGTTAGACGTTATCATACGGGCTGAAATTCAGTTCTCCTAAACTCGATCAAGATTCATATGACGATTCGCGTTGCTCATAAAATTCCCATTTTGATATTTTTTCCAGGTCAAAATTACCCCTTTTGTTTCTACACGTTGAGTTTGCTATTGTCAGTGGACATTATATCGGAAATTTACCATGTGAAAGTTATTTTGGGTTAGACATGAACAGAGGTAAAGTTTCTCCTTTCTACTCCCGTTGTTCTGCTATTTACCTTTTATTGCAAATTGATTTTCATCATTAATTAAAAAAAACACGCAAACTATAAAGATCTTGTGTCCCAAAAGATGTTATGGTAGAAGGAGAAACCTCTTGGAATGAGCAAAATAGACTTTTTTCTGAAAGCAACGGTTGAGTTACGGTACGGTTGTATTAAACCGTATTAAATGCCATGTAATTATATTTAAAATAATACTAATAATTAACTGTCGAATAAATAAAAGTTGAGTTTTACGTGCACAAAGTATGGTGCCTTATCAATGTAAAGACATTCCCCAGGGTTTATTCAGACATCGTTACACTCTTGCACAGAAAAAAGGAGAGCCCAGGGAAGAGAATCCTCTTAGACTGATCACGGTTGAACTTCTGGAATTCACGAGACACATAGGGTTGTAGGGATGCGGGGATGTGGCTCACAAGATGATATGTGAGATACGAGCAATTGTAAAGGGGGAAAGCGGGATAAAATTGGACGTCGAGACCCTGAAGAGCTGTTTCCAAGGCGGGATATGGGATAAACTGGATGGGATATTTACTTCACCCAATCAGAAGCACTACGACAGATGAGGAAACATCAGTTAGCTCAAAGTTCGGAGTGACATGTTGTCAAAGACATTGAAAAATGTTTACTTGCTTCACAAAGGAGCTTAAATGATTCCCAGAAAGCTCGCGTTAATTTTATTTTCTCGGGGTAACACATGACGCGAAATAGCCTTGTATCTTTGGCTAGACAAATTGTGGTTAAAGCTCGAACTCCTTCACACTAGTAGGGATTTAATAGCGAGCTTAAGCAAAGGAGCTTTTTAGCGACGTACGTCAACCGGAAGTGACCTCTTACAAAATCGTCTCAATGAGAAAAACGTCAATTAGCAAGACAAATTTGGTAGCATCAAGGCATCTTTAAAGGGAAAAGATCCCACTTCCGGTTGACTTGCATGGTGACGCCAATGAAATTTTACGTCATCGTCTAATTGTCCCAGCTTACTCAGGCCCTTAAAACTCTGGAGAGTGAGTTGGATCGGAGCTGAAGAGAAGGGGAGTTCAGAGCTCAACCTGAGATGAATACAATACACGAAGAGTATGATTTCAGCCAGAATTGGACGAACCTAATATCGTACCCGGCTTTGTCAACAAGAGATCTGGGTACGAGATTAGGACGAACCAACTACGTTGTGCATAATTTAAATTTTTATTAAGCAAAAAACACAAGATCTCTGGAGAGTCTTGCAAGGACGAAGGAGCCCATTTGAGAGCAACTGTCTTATTAAAGCGCGCGAAGATGCGGACTGAACGGTTATTAGGCATGTCGCGTCCTGTCTTAACAGAGGTCTTTGAATTCCAAGACGAGGACGACTACGAGTGTACGATTTTATTAGTAGTAAGTAGTGCTCGCGTGTGATCCAGCATCATTTTGGCGGGAAAACGCGATAGTCGTCGTAATTCTAATATGGGTTTTTACGGGTCTATATTAATACTGATATCAGGGCTGTCAGATTAGAGAAATTTGTTACTGTTATGATAAAACAGTTAATCATAACTATAACAAAATTCTCAAATCTGATTGGTTATCAGTTGCCCTGATTTCAGCCTTAATAGAACAGTTTAATAGGGCAGTACGCGTTATGCCTAAGTAATTGGACAGTACGCGCCATCACGCGCGAGCTTAAATGGCTATTTTTTATGGTTAGCAAAATAACTCTTGGAATTTATTGTGTTTTGGTTTTAAAAAGAGCCTTATATATAACAAATTTTGTTAAAGTCATGATTAGTTGGTTACAGAACTTCGTGTCGTCCAATTCGGTCTGTAATCATACTCGTGATTAAACAAATCGTGATTTTGTTAATCACTCGTATGATAACACACCGAATTGGACTCCACTCAGTCCTGTTACCGTTACTAACTGTTTCAGACAGTAAAAATTTACCCGGAAGTATAAGAGCCTCCCGTTCAATCGCTAGTGAGAACTACGATTGGAAAAAATTCGATTAAAATCCTACCTAAAAATATACGCTACAATCTCTTTGTTGCAAATCACGCCATATACGCATACGTCCTTCTTGATTATCTTTTTCTAGTCTAACGACTTCAGTTAATTTCGGGTCATAAGCCAGCAACTAATCACTTCTACTCGTTGCCTCATTTCACCATCGATTCTAATGTACGTGGTCGCTTCTCGATACGAATGATCCTATATTGTAAGTAATGATCAGGCGGAGAGAAAACATCTTACAAAGGAGTTGAAGGTGAAAAACAGGCGACCTTAAAAACGTTTTTGTGTCTCCAGACATCAAAAACTATCTGTTGTAGCAAAATTGTAAAGGAAATATCTGGTCAAAAAACAAGATCAGTTATTCTCTGACTTTTCCCTCAAAATTTTATCGAGAACAGAAAAAAATCTGTCCCCCTCCCTACAAGTATAATTGGTGTCTAGACAAAGGCTGCTTTCCATTATACCAAGATTATCGGAAATTTCGGTCGAGAAATCAATAGAACGCTTCGGTCTACCTGGGAATTTTCGGGTCGAAGTGGTCCACCTCCAGAGATGGTCTTCTTTGACCTGTCGGTCCGGTTCGACCGATACTTGCCGTTCCATTTCCAAACATTCTCGTTTCCAGTGCGACTTTGCCAAGAAGTAATCAAATTTCGGTCGTTATACTACTACATGAGAAATTTCTGCAATTTGATTGGCTTAGAGCAGTGGTATTTCAGCTTAATTTGAAATACCTACTTGTGAAAATTACAAACCTTTTGCGGGTAGTAGTATAAACAAATAATAGCATGATTTGCACGTGATATTTGGCATAAATACCACTCGTGATATTTCAAAATTGTCTCAAATTTCACTCGTCTAACGGCTCGTGAAATTACGTATAACAATTCCGAAATATTACTCGTGGTATTTATGCCAAATATCACGTGCAAATCATACTATTACCTATACAAACGCGAATGGGTCGTTTGGATTCGATTGTGAACAATGTTGTTTCATTTTGTCTTGACAAGTGTTCCACTGGCTTCTGACTGTTTGGTTTCACTCTCTTGGAAAAAGGAAAAGCATCCAAAAGGTACTATGGCTTGATTTTGACCAAAAAAGCTCAAAATTCTTGCCCGTTCATAGTACCAGTCCTCCTGCCTGTAACTGTCGTCTTCTATGCACTCTGCCAGCGGACGTTATACAAATAAGCAGGCCTGCACTGAAGAGTAAAGCACCCACAATCACAACAGCCACGTAAACACTACTTTGGATACGAGAAATCGACACAGAGGTTGGCGGTAAAAGGGGAAGAAGGTTTGTGGCGTTGATCATGAATCCAAGAGCCCAACCAACAGAGAGTTTCTTTATCTGAAAACAAAGGCAATAAAGCAGACCTTAATTTTTGCCCAATGTAAGGGAATCTAGTCTTGGATTGTGGAT